CAGTCCCCAAACATAAACCGTAGTTTCGAGGAGCCTATAAGTTCTATGCCCTGCAGACCCTAGACCTGGTGGATCTTCCTCAGGGTGCCTTTAATGGGGCACCGGCAGCTGGCCACCAGCATACGGTTTCAAGACTGTGAAACCACATGCAGGGAAGCCGGAGGGATCCTGCTAGCTACTGGGGTTCCCACATATCTGTTTGTAAATTCTACACAGCATTCTGTTTTGCACCCGGGTTTCATTCCGCAACAGCGACGGCGGCATGCCCCAAACAGTGAAAGAGCGTGCCGCAAGCATGCCATCAGGGCCACAAAGCCACGACCACTGCGAGCGAGCTTGAAAAGCTTGGAAAGATGCATGTCGTAACTAAGTCTTCCGGCATGAACCTCATCCAGAGCGACCCAGCAGACCAGCAGAAGACCATCAGGAGCCAAGAGACCGCCACGAGAGGACATTCCAGGATAGCACCAGACGACCACGAGGACGCTGCCAAAATGCTTTCCCCAAAGTACACGCGCCTTCAGAGCCACACCCGGATTCGAGAGCACATTGGAATCGTTTTCCCACTGCCGCTCGAGGACTAGCGCCAAAGTGCCTTTCTCCAGGTACTGGAACGTTTCGGGAGCAGCCAACCTATGCTTCCCCGTCTTGGCCTGCGAGCAGGAACACACCAAATCGTTTCCAGAGCAAGAAGTGATCCGTGTCACGAGGAATGCTCTGAGTGGAGGTGCTCCGCGCGGGCGCCACAAAACTATTTCTTCACTCCCAACGCAAAGGCCTCATAGTGTCATCACACTACTTGGGGACGCGACTGTGTGCTCAGACCTCTGAGCCCACCGGGAAGCCTTTCTAGGCCCATGAGGCCAGAACCCGTTCATAAAATCCCAAGTGCCCAAACCCCAAAGCAGTATCGGCCACCACAAACCGCAATACCCGAAACTGCTGACTCCTTACAGAAGGCCAGATTCGCTGAAGCCCCTCGCAGTTGCGGACGACAAGGCAGAGAAAAAGTGCGGCCCCTAGTTGATTCCAACCATAAGTTTTAAGTTGTAAGTAATCAGTAAGGTTGGGTTACTAGCTGAGCGTAGTGTTTCGGGTCATTCTTAGAGCCCTGGGGCCGTTGTTTAATCAAAGGATCAGGCTATGTTTGGACATGCGTTTTGTCTGTTTGGAAATCGCAGCTTCAAAGTCAGAATGAGAGAAGATCTATTCTAAGTCGGGCCTCAGAATTCTGTGTGGGGCTACCATGAGTTGTTCATGAATTTAGTGGAAGAATAGCCTGACCCGCAATCACCACTCGATAAATCCCTGGATTGGGTTCCTTTCCTGAAACCTATGTCGCAAAGGCTTAGGATTTAGGTATAGGTGATTTCTTGTGTCCTGTTCCCGGGAAGCGAACCTCTAAATCGCAAATCTTCCTAGAATCTTCACATACCGACTCTCAACTCAGACTTATGCCACCTGGGCGATGCTGAAAAGCAATTCCGAGTCCCGAGGGTGTACCTGGCTACGCGAAAGCCCAGCCCGTAAGCACACGAGACTGCGTACCCCGAATTCTTCTGTGGAACGGAGCTGAGTTACATGACATGCCGAGAGTAGTACGTGCAACATGGCTAACACGCATACAATCAAACTGGTACATATGCATGCATGGATGCGCAGGTGCACAGATCGATCTATATATATATATACATGTATATGTATATGTACATGTGTGATTGCTTTACAGATCCATGCGCACGTGTGCACCTGCACACGCATGTGCCTTTTGCTTTTGTACACATACAAATACACACATATACACAAATATACGAATGGGTGCAGTCTGTTCAAGACGACCGGGTCTTCTGGTATATAGCCGTTACGTTACACGGTGTTTGCTGGTAGTTGTTGTTGTTGAGTCCTCCTGCGAAAATGGCTTGGTTTGTTTTGTTTTGACAGTAGATTTGAAATCTTGAGAGCGAAAGCATGCACATATGCGCACACACCGCATAGATATACACTAACACATGTAAAATATGCCTACAAGCATATGGCACCACATGTATGTATACATGCGTACATGTGCATACCTAGATATACATGCATTGACCTTCCAACACAGAAAAAACCTGCATGCATGCGTACACATATCGCACATGCGTACAGATACGTTGGCATACTTATATGTACATGTGCATGCGTTTGCATCCGTCTATAGCAGGTTATAAGAGACATGCACCTACGTTTACATGCATGCATGCACAAGGCATTCAGATAATGCAAGCGGACGTTTGCAGACATGCACATACAACATTTCACACATGCATGTAAACTCAAATGCACATATGCATAAGCAACGCACATATACAAACATACTATACATATCTATACATACATACATACATACATAATAACATGCACGCATGCTCGCATGCACGCAAATATACATGCATACAGACATAATGCAGCATGCAACTATGTCTGCACCCTGCCGAGTGCGAGTGACAAAAATGTACGTACATGTACGTGCTTGTAGTATTTGTTACATGTGTATACACAGACACATACATACGTACATATATATAGATATATATGTGTGTGTACACGTATGCCTGCCGTTGAAGTCTATGTCCTGTGGGTCGTTCTTTCTTTCTTTCCGTCTGTTTGTCTGTCTGTCTGCCTTGCTCTCTCTGTCTCTCCCCCTCCCTCCCTTGCCCCGTGACACTCTCGTTACACAAGACTCAGAGCCCTGCAAGGCCTAAGACATGACTTGCACACTGCATCCACAAGGTCGGGCTGCCTCGGTTGCTGCAAGAAGAAATGAAGCCTGCCCGTGCCGTGCTCTTCCTTCTCGGCCTGCGGGATTCAGGGATGGGGTTTTAGCAAATGCTTTAGGGTTGTAGTTTGCAAACTTGTGCTCTTGTTCTTTCAGGGTTGCGGTTTAGGACCTTAGCTAGGATCGTTTAGGGTCCCAGGCATAGGGATTAATCATGATGTTAATCGAATCTCTGGATGCCCAATTGACGTTAAAGTATGGGGCTGCGGGTTCAAGTTGGCAATTGGATGTTGGCTGGTGTGGCAAGCTACGAACTGCACTGATAACTAGCTCGTGTATATGGTTGAGGGTACGGGCAGAACCCGGAGGGCCCAACGCTCCCTAAGGAATGTCTCTACCGTAGACTAGACCATGGTATATGAAGCCTTATACAACAAGTTGACAACAACCATTAACCCGAATAGTTTCCTATGCAGGACCCTTAAGGAGCAAGTTTGGCTCTCTGGGAGAGCGCAGCCGCTGCTTGAGCGGTTTGCCAAGTTGGCTTTTCCTGGAGCGTCGGGGCCAGCAGGGAGTCTATTGACTTCCGGCACAGCATTTAGGGTTTAGGTTCAAGCATAATGAAGGCCGCATGCCCAAGAGATTTATGGCTATGTCAGTATAAAGGTAGATATTGAATGTTCAGCTAAGCTTGGTCCTTGCTCGGCTCCATGCTCAACATCTCACAACAACGGCAGTCGATACGGTCAGGCTGCTCCTTGTGCCATGCAGCCATCAGAAATAGACCTGGTAAACCCAGAAGCCCCCGGCCAACGTTACAAACTCTGACCTGGAATCATTACATCCCTGAGGCCACACCACGCACCCCCAAATCCCCACAGTCGGAATTACCCCGAACTCCCACCTGCCCATCCAAGAGGTCACACACAAGAGCATCAAGGCTTCAGGGATTCGGGATTCGAGCTGCGGAGGATTACAACGGGTTTGGAGTTTTAAGAGCCTAGAAGATGTTAGTTTTCGGGGCTAAAGCCTTACATAGCACGGAGGTTCGGACCCAATCGTGTTGGCTGCCTGCCAAGCGATGCGAAAGCATCGCCGGTGAACTCACAAACTCTGCGCCTTGGATGGTGCCCAGACTGATGTTGAATGTGCCATGACATGGCCACGGGTTCAGGTGCAAAGTTCCACGTTTTCGAGTTTGCATTTTGTGCTGCTGTGTGTGTGTGTGTGTGTGTGTGCTCTCAGAGCGCCGGTAAACCTACCAACCACAAGTATGATCGCCCCCAGGTTGTTGGCTTGTCTTTCCAGAGGAGAGAAAGGTGCCGATGTGAGATTTACTTAGTGTCAGGGTTTAAGGCTCAGGATCCTGGTCTAGCTCACGTGCACAAATCGAGCTTGGTGATGCCCAGTTTCTGGATATCTGTAGCACGGACCAGGAATGACCAGAGTATAATAACAATCTGACTCAGTTGGGGCATCCGCCAACGGACTTGGTATTGAAAGCTCTGGCTACAGAGGCCCACTAAACCCTACATCCGAAACCCTTAACCCTCATCGGTTCTCACCAGGGCACCATCTGGCTGTACCTATTTCGGTGATGGCCTTTAAACCTCTGCGTGTGACAACATTGGGGAGCTGGAAAAATTGCCGAAGGTTTCTCTGAAACCTTATTGCCGCTTGCAAAGGTCTTCTTGTACATTCAGCGTGGGAATTCTTGCGATGGTGGAACAAGGTAGGTGTTGACAGTTAAGGTACACTCCCATCATCTACAGAATCTACAGTTCTGATTGTGGGGAGGTTGACAAGTCGAGGTTTAGACTTCCGTAGGGTCCTTGAGGCGATGTAGTTCGGGCGGTATGACGCCACCCTGTTTTCTGAAGGACCGTCGTGTTCATGGGCGTGCAGGATTCAGGGTTTAGGCTAAAGGCAGAACGCTGGACATGAGGGCTTGTGCACTGCAGGCCCTCCTCCAACAGGCAAAAGCCAGATTTTGTCCGAGGAAGCATGAGGTCATGCCGCACATCTGTTGTAGCCTTAAGCCCAGCACCTGCAAGCCCTGTTAGAGCCACGCAGAGGGCCCAGGCGCGCCCTGGTTTTGCGCTTTAAACTTGGGAGGGTACGCTCCGAAGTAACTGGAAGCCCGAAGGCCAAAGGCCGCACAGCGTCGTTGCTTGTCTCGCGGCGGAGAGTTTGGGCTTTCAGCTGTGGGTCCGTGTCTCCTCCGGGCCTTTTGGGGGCCTTGATGCTGGATGCATCGTGTTGCATCGCCTCCCTCTGTCCGAGCGGAATTGGCAAAGCAGAAAGCTCGCAGACAGATTCCGAGATAGAGAAGGAAGGAAGGCTCGACGATGAGGCAGCCAGAGGGTCTTTGGGATCTTGTCTTAAAGGGGTTGGGCGTGTAGGGCTTAGCATGGGGCCTGGAGGGTTTCAGGGGATATGGTTCAGGTCTCGGATTCCCCAAAGTTTCCGTGCGACACCAGAATTCGATCCCTCGCTCGCGTTTTAGAGATAGTGACGAGGAGATCCAGCGTGAAAAGGGTACCGTGATGCCCCAAACCATGCACCTAAACCTGAATCCCAAACTTCAAGCCTAAGAGGCCCCTTAAAGGCCCTGAGCCGAAGACCTCGATCTCGGCTCCTCAAAGATGAAACGAACAGAGGCTTCACACCGAATCCAGGGCACATAGCCGAGACAAAACAGGCGACTGTAAACCCTAACCTCGGAACCCTAAACCCTAACCCTGGAACCCTAAACCTAGGAACCCTAAACCCTACCTTGGAAGCATTTCGAGCTCTGCTGCCGAGACCAAGTTGGAGCCTCGAAGCCCTTAGCATTTTCAATGCCCGCGAGCCCTAAAGCGCCAAGGGCCTTAAATCCTTCAGTCCTGAGAACCCTAAACCCCTAAACCACCCCTAAACCCTAAACCACCTCCTAAGACATCAATCCCCTGGAGCACAAGAGCCCTGAGCCAAGAAACAAATGCTTCAAAAATCCGCACCTGCACTCTTGAGACCCTCAGCCATAGAGTCCCAACGGCCCAAGCAATCTTCCCAAGCCTACACTAAGCATACCAAAGGATACTTCCAAATCTTTGCACCCAAACTCGCAAGCAAAACCCTGAGACCCTCGAGCTCTGACCCCCCTCGACTTATTTCAGACACCTAAACTGTAGAAGACCCCATAGTATGCTGTAACCTGAACTGCCCTACTCCGAAACCCTGAACCCGCAAGCCTAGAGCCCTGAAGGACAGGATTTCGGCGCGGCAAGTCCGGGGCCCGGGCTCGTGTCAAAGATGCTGCGGCGGCTGCTGTGGGGTGATGCCACCGGGCCGCAGAGATTCATTCGGCTACGGCCTCTTAGAGTTCAGGGCTTCAGGGGCCAGAAGGTCTGGGGCATCAGAGACCTACGTACATCTGACGAGGCCTGATAGGTGGGGGTTGCGTAAAGTTGCGGGGTCCCGTAAGATAGGGGCTCCACAGGAAGGATGCTGTGAGGTCCCTAATTTCCTGAACCGTTTGGATTCGTTTGCTTAGGATTTCGGAGAGCGAGAAGCAACCTAAGGGCTCGTCCAGGGCCGAGTTTTCCGTAGGATCGTAAGACCTGTGGACTTTGACTGACTCTCTCTCTCTCTCTCTCTCTCTCTCTCTCTCTCTCTCTCTCTCTCTCTCTCTCTCTCTCACACATGTACATGTATTCAGTTTGCAGCCCCTGACAATGGCAAAGCGTGTTGATCCCCTGAAAACCCTTCGCTAGAAAGACGTGAGCTTTGCAGCCTCCAAGGCCCTACAACACGGCCCCTGAACGACGAAGCAGAAAGATAACTGGAGATCCGGCGTGCCAACTCTCTATAATCAGGGACTTGCAACATGGGTAGTCGTCAAAACTAGGGTTCCTTTTTGGGTATATACCCTAAATTAGGCCCTAAATAATAGGTGCCGTATTATCGTAGGGACCCAAATGGACCCCAATTTTGACAACCACCCACATGAATGCAAGAGTCCTTTCTCAACCGTCAACCTTGAGCATGATCGCGAAACGGATGCTTCCGCGACTTTGCGAACCTTTCAAGGGGTTGCTCCGTTCGCCAGGCCCTACAGTACGGCCCAAAATCGCAGGAACATGGTTTGCGCATTCAGTTGACCTTCTCACCTGTTGTAGTGCATTGCTTGATTGCTTCCTGGTCGGTTTCTGGTACCCCAACAGAGAACCCTTCTTTTGAATGGCAGGACCCAAACTAGGCCTCTGCTTCTCAGCAGCCTTCAAATAAGTTTAGTCAATGCCGAGGCTTTTCGTGGCTTTGGTGGAAGTTGTTTTTGCCTGCACTGACGCTTGGCGGCGGTTGTTTGTCGTTGAATAAGTAGCGGCTAAAGTCAGACCCCTAAACTCCTGCGCCCTAAGCCTCAAAATCAATAAGCCCCACTCCTAAACAGCATTTATTTGGCAGCATATGTCCCGAAGAGGTTAAACGGACACCTTCACATCCCAAACCTAGGCCATTAGGGTCTGGTGGCCTTGAGATGGGTAGAAGGCTTTGTAGGGCCTGCAGATTTAATCAGCTTTGGGGTTGGGCCCTTAGGGCCTTTGAAGGCGTTTTCAGTGCAGAATCAGAATCAACAGTAAGGGCAATGGTCGCAGGGGCGACTCAGCATTTGCAAACTCTCGAAGCCGACAAGACTTTCGCGGGCAACAGGACCGTAATTAGAGAGGTACCGTCAAACATGGCAATCAACAGTGAGCCCTTCTTCCCAAGAAGCATAGGAAGCTTTCCACATTACTTGGTGTCCGGTTTCGAGTTGAATCGAAGTATGTATGATGATAACCATATAGATGTATGTGTACAACTATACAATACTATACATATACATATGTATATATATATATATGTATGCAAACACATGCAGATCTATAGAAACACGTCTTACGTGGATGCGCGTGGAACGAATCAGGGGTCGCTTTGTGGTGGTTGTTGTACAAGGACTCGGGAAATTCACAGCGAAGCGGGCCTTGAGGGGGTGTAGAATGTAGGTTTTAGATTTGGGCGCGTTTTTCTTTGGGGGGGCCTTTCGAGCGACATGTTTGTGAAAAGGCCGGTTTTGGCCTGGCGATCGGCGTGTCTGTCGTACTCGCACCACTGGCCTTGCTCAATGCTGCAGCTCGGCACAGGGGGGTTCTAGGTCATGAGGTTCCTTGGTTTTAGTATAACACATAGGAGGGGGGCCTTAAGAATTGAACTCATGTTCCTTTATTTACAGGTTCCTTCAAGGCGCGCCAAAGGGGCACACGGAGCTGTGTTTTGAACACCCGCGACCGTCGCCTGACAGGCCTTCTCTTGCATGGCAATAGCCACCCAGTGCTGAAAGAACAAGACTTCTGCAGGACTTCTACTTAAAACACTCTCCGGCACATCGAGGTGAGGTTCGCGGCCCCACCCTCGACCTTGAGGCATCAAGCAAAGCTTCGAACTTGAAAGCCGGAGATCAGTGTCTGTAAGGCCAAGGGTTTCCCGCTATCCCCAGCCCTGAAGCTGACTCACAGAAGCAAGGCTCTGTAAGGAAGAGATGGTTCAGTGCATGAGCATGTTTTTGTTGGGGGGATGTCCGCCTTACCTTGTTACAAGTACCCTTCCGATGACACCCAAGGGCCCTAAACCCAATGTCCCTAAAGCCCTAGACACCTAACTGCTTAAAGTACCCCTAAATACCTTGATCCTCCAAGTTCCCCGAAGGCCCAAGTCGAACCCCGCGCAGCTTTGAACCTCAGTGAAACCCAGCTTGTGGATAGGATCTCCACACGTCGCTACCCTCACTATCAGGTTTGAACCAGTACCTAAACTCCAAACGAACAGGGAAACCGCAGCCCCAAGAGTTCCCGCCTCAACGAGCAATACTCCATGCGGATGTCGAGGGGATGGTGTGCAAAGTCCGAAGTTTCTTTCGAATTCATGTTTTGTCAGAAATCAATAACAAGGCTGGCAAGTAAACTCCCGTAGCTAATGCGGTAGCTCGTGCTCCTGTCTTTGCGTTTTGGCCTTGTAAGGTCTTTTTGTGCAATCTGGGTCCGTGCCGTCTGTCTTGCCGCATGGCCGCAACATCAGGAAGCATGGGGAAGGGCGGGATACGGCTGCTGGTTAACCTGGTTGGCAAGGACGCATTGCTGCCTTCAGTCTTGCAAGCGTCACATCCCAAGAAGTATTGGCAGCAAACCTTGGCGTTAATGTCCTGAAGCCCAAATAAATAAACACATTGCCAGAGGCTTCTCCCGCAGAACCCTTCTTCTCCCTGACACCCCAAACTCGAAAGTTTAGTTTAGACCCTATAGAGCCCGGTCATCGCTTCCCTGCCGCTCCATGACAAGAAAACCCAGACCCTAAGCCCTAAGCATCCCTAAGCCCGAATCTGGTTTGTCCAACTTCTGAGACCCGAAGCCCTAAACCCTTAAGCCCTAAACTCTAAAAAGCCAAACGGAAAAAGGGCCGTGAAAAACAAGAACTAGAAAGCCGAGTCGCTTGGCTTTGCCTTCTTGGTACCTTGACCGGGCCCTTTGGCTTCTTTGGCGCCGTCTTTCTAGCGCTCCTTCGTCTGCGAGAGCTTCGGGGCTTTTCGAGATTTAGTGGTTTAGGGTTTAGGGGTTTTGGGCTTAGGGGTTTTGGGGCTTAGGAGTTCGGGGGTTTTGGGCTTAGGGGTTTGGGGCTTTTCGAGATTTAAGGGTTTTGGGGTTTAGGGTTTTGGGCTTAGGGTTTGGGGCTTAGGAGTTCGGGGGTTTTGGGCTTGGGGGTTTGGGGCTTTTCGAGACGTAGGGGTTTTGGGGTTTAGGGCTTGGGGGTTTGGGGCTTAGGAGTTTGGGGGTTTTGCGCTTAGGGGTTTGGGGCTTCTCGAGATTTAGGGGTGTTGGGGTTTTGGGCTTAGGGGTTTGGGGGCTTTGGGGGCTTTGGGCTTAGGAGCTAGCTGTATGCAAACACCTGCAGATGCAGAATTCTTTCAACCTGTATGCTGAAGCCTGGATTTTGAACCTTCCAGAACTCTGAATGAGACGAAACCCGCTCTGTGAGGAAAGATGTTTGGACATTGGCTGGCGAGCCCAATTGGCTTGAAACGTCGACGTTCCCCGACACTCGCCTGTGCTGACTTTATCGCCAATGGTTCGTGTTTAGGGATCGAAGTCCCAACCCCACCCATTTCCTCAAACTATGAAATCTAGACCCTTTGCACTCCAAAACCTATTCCCAAACCTCAGCAGGTTGGGTCACCGTGCAGATTCATTTAAGGTTCCCGCGGCGGAACTGTGTACAGCACGAGAGGTTTGCAGGCATGGTAAACATGGAGACTTGACTAGAAGCAGGCCATCCACGAACAAGGACTCAAACAAGCAATTCACGAGCAGTTGTCTGCATGACACAACTTGAGTCAAGCTTTTTGCAGGAAGTGCACCTTAATGCTGGGCGCCAAAAATCCGAGTGTACCCTGTGGAAATTCCAAGTTTCAGGGTGGGTGGGTGTTCTTTTCTGCCACACTTACTACATCTCAAGTTTGCTCCCGAAGCTTCGCCATAGGAAGTTTCTATTCTTGTCTTGAGCCTTCAGGTCTTGGTGAGGATGATTCGAAGTGCAGGGTTATGGGTTGATAAATTCCTATTATGCTTAACATAATAAGTTTTAGGAATACGGGGCCGGAACTGAGCAACCCCCGGTGTCAATATGCTAGTGGTGGGGGCTTGGTTGGGCTGGGGCTGGGGGCAGAGGGGCTGGGGCGCTGGGTGGGGGCGTGTCGGTACGGCAGGCGTCGATACGCATCGGCAACTGTCGGCAGCAGTCAGCAACCGAGCCTAACCGACGGTTGCCGACAGGTTGACACCTGCCGATGGCTGCCAACCAGTCCCCAAAGTAGGACAGTGTTAAGCATATCGAGGCCTCCGAAAACCAAAAGACATGTCCGGAGTGCTTGTGCCTGCACCAACTTCCAGCTCTGAGGCGCGCACCGAAAAGCAGCATAATGTTAACCATCATAAGTTTTTGCAGGTTTGGGGAGCCGAGACCTCGCAGTGACAGTAGAGAATTTAAATACTTGAGGATCTAGAGACAACTTTAGGGTTTGGGCGTTTTTGGGGTTTTCAGGATGTGAGCCCTCGACTGGTTCTGCTCCCAGGACGAGTGCACTGTTGGTGGCTGCTGCCGTGTGACTGTCTCTCGACCCCACCGCGCGGAGACCCTCCAACCCCTGCTGCTATGACCGCATTTATCTGTCCATTCAACAAGGCACGTACCGAATCAGGAATTGCACGGGTCAAGATCAGTACATCTGGGTCAGGCACCTTTAATTCCAGCACCCCGCACTTTTCAGAGATGGGTTCCCCGGAGGGTAAAACACCTGCACTGTCATCAAAATACACAGTTGCCCCAAAGTTGCTCTCAAAGGTTTGCCAACGTGTTGCAACAAGCCACAAGTGTTTGTTCTTTATGTTTCTGCTGTTGCGGGCTCGTTTATACAACTCTCAAGAGTTTGAAACTTGGCGTGAAGGTACAGAGCCGGGGATAAGTCGCGAAGAAGTTTTAAGGGAGCCCGAGCCCGAAACCCTTAGCTACTGGCACCCGCCGCCCCAACAAAGGCTTGTGAAGAACACTCCGATGGCAACCGTGAGAGATGAGCCTTGGAAGCACACTGAAGCTGCAAACTTCAAACCCTCGAGTTTGACGGCTGGTTGCAGACTTTAGCGCTACAATGATTAAGAAGGCCGGCCCTCGGTTGAGTTCAAGGGCCTGGGTAATGAAGTCCGCTATTGCCATTGATGATGTTTATGATGATGATGATGATGACGATGGTGATGATGATGACAGTAGCGCTCTTAGGAGTATCCGTCTGTTCACTCATGACCTTCATAGTAGCGTTATTGTTGCTGTTGCTGTTGATGCTGCGGCTGCTGCTGCTGGTGCTGTTGCTGCTGCTGGGGCTGTTTCCGTCGCTGTCGCTGCAGTTGGTGTTGGCGTTGATGTTGTTGTTGGTGGTGGTGGTGGTGGTGGTGGCGGTGGTGGCGGTGGTGGTGGTGGTGTTGCTGCTGTGTCTGGTGTTGTTGTCGTTGTCGTTGTTGTTGCTGTTCTTGTTGCTGTTGCTGCTGCTGTCGTTGTTGTTGTTGTTGTTGTTGTTGTTGTTGTTGTTGGTGGTGGTGGTGGTGGTGGTGGTGTTTTGCCATTGCTGTAATCGGGTTGCTTAGGTTTAGTCATATAGTTAATAGTAGTGTCTCTCTGACTGTACTACAGCACATTGCACAATCAGCAACCTAAATATGTGTTCGAAGTGTGGTTCTGAAGGCGATGAATCTTTAGGAGTGATCTGTCGACCTCGCTGCTGCAAACTTGTAGCTTCTTTCATGTTGCTGCAAGTGACACGTGTGAACTTTCGCTTTTGCACGAGTCTTTGAAATCTTTCATGAGAATGTAGACTTAGCTTGGGCCCTACTTGTGGCACATGGGTGCAGCATTTGTTATGCTCACGGCGAGGGCCTTACGGGTGCAGCTGTCGTGCCGAACGCGTGACACTGTAGATGCAGGATACCTCAACCTCTCCTAAGTTGGTAAGCCTTGTGCCCAGGAGCTGCACCGCTGGGTCGATCCTGGAAAAATCAATTGGCAAGAGACGCTCGGAGCCAATATGTTTCCCGCCTCCCGTCTCGGGTATATGCTCGAGCTACACTGGCACTCAACTCGAAGCACTTCACCCCAGCAACCTTAACACAGGAATGAAGGAATGCAACAAATGTAGTTGCCTGACACGAATGCTTTCGAGGATCTCATACGGGGTCTCTCCTTTGTTACTGATTGTTCAACTCATCCAGAAGTGGGCTTTGGGCCCCAAAGCTCGAACCCCATTGTAAAGTTTACCTTTTGTACCCCGGTGCACCCTGAAGGGACTGCGAGTGGCGTGGCTCGCTGCTACTCACCGGCGGCAGTGCAGAGGGAGCCGTACCGAGCGAGGTGCGAAAGCTAGCTGTAGCCAACTGCAGCGGCTTGGCTTTGTTGCGCTTGGATTTCCCATCACTTTGCAAGACCTGTTAACCTGTAGCTCTTTTGCAGGAATGGTGATTCAGCTTGTCGGGCCGGCCTTAAGGGTCTCAAAGCCGTGGTTATCTTTGCAGCTTCGGAGAAACCCTAGATGTCGGGGATGTTTAGCAGTTTAGCAGGTCTGTGCTTTGCTTTGTGGACCCGGGGCCGCTTCAGATACCCGGGAGTTTCCAGGTACATCACCATATGATTTTTTAATTACGTCTATTAACACGCAGATCGTGGCAACGGCCTATGAGTGTGATAGCGAACATTTGCCGTTCACTTTGAACAGGATTCTTGCTGCGCCATTAATCTACAGCGACAGCTCATGGAAGCACTCCAAGACCCTAAGCTGTCAGGATATAAAGCATGTTCTGACTACTGCCGTTGTATAGCTGTACTTGGTAGCCCCTTTTGGCACGAGGTGAGTAAAATAAGTAGCCTGTGCCTGCGGTGTGTGTGGTTTGAGGGTTAACCTAAACCCTTGCATGGTAGCGGAGCCGGACGTCTAAGGGACTCCGTGCTCACCTTCTGCGGGTCGCCCCGCGAAGGTAAGGGACGCGGGTAAGCCCCGCTCCCTGGTGGTTGCGGGTCAGCCCCGCACCACACGTGACCGCGGGAAGTCCCGCGTCACAGGAACCAGCTGCGGGCCGATCCGCGCTGGTGTGGGAGCATAGTCCTCCCGAGTGCTGCTTAGGCAGCAGGTAGACCGCCAAGACGGCGGGTCGAGGTCGCGGCAAAGGAAAGCCGGTGACCAAGAAGAAGAACAAGAGGGGGAAAAGAAGTGAAGCGGCCACCTCTAGGAGGCAGGACCGCGGGCAGGCCAGAAGGCTTGCAGCCGCTGAGGAGCGGCAGGAGCCACCAAGAAGCCACAGGGCAGCCGCTGATCCCTCGGCCCGGGGGTCAGCTGAGGCAAGGGGCCGAGGTCGTACTCCGAGGCGGGTGGTTCTTACTTTTTTGCCTGGAGGAGGCTCAGGAGCGAGACCGGATCCTCGGGACGACCGCGGCCAAGAGCCAACCAAGGAAGCCCAGGCAGACAGAGGCTGGGTACGAGAAGATCAAGTGGAAGAAGGAGAGGCGACGAAGGAAGGAAAGGAGCCGCCTCGACCTTCGATCGGTTCCTCGGGAGGCTCAGGCAAATCGGGTCCTGAGGTCGGTAGCGCCGACACGAAGCAAGCAAGCTTCGGGGCGCAAGAGGGACTTAGAGGAGTTCCTGACCGAGCAATCCGCTCGCTTTGCGCAGCAGAGGTTCCGAGAGAGAGTGGAGACCCAGGAGGCGATCAGGAAGAGGCTTCCTAAGGGCAGCGTGGGCGAGGTATTGCTTAGGCAGCGGGTCGGCGAAGCTTGCAGTATCTGCAGGACCAGGCGTCGCAAGGCCGCCCCGGCTGTGCGCAACTACGTGCTTAGGAGGTTTTCTCCTAAGGCATTGGCCCAAAGGGTTGCGGAGGCCAATCGGCACCGCACCGAGCCCCGACCAAAGGGGACCGCTCGAAAGAGCAAGGCCAAACCAAAGGCCACATCAGCTCCTCTCCTGACGGAGGACGAGGAGAGCAGTGAGAGCTCGGATGGAGATGGAAGCGGGGTTGATTGGGACCCCCCAAGCTCCCCAGATGGCCCAACAGGCGGGCCAGGTTCCGCTGGAGCAACAGCTCCAGCAGCAGTTGCAGCAAACTAACCTGATGCTGCAGCAAATGAACAACAGGCTGGTGACTCAGGAGGCCCAGCTGTTGCAGCTGCAAGCGTCAGGATTGGCAGCCCGGGGAAGGCAGAGCACCTTCGATACCGACATGCCGGGCCCAAGCCATCCACCGGCCCCAAGGGCCGGCCTGGTAGACACCAGGCAACTCGGGAAGCCCGAGGTTTTCAAAGGGTCCACGGAGGAAAGCTTCAGTGACTGGTCGTTCATCTTTGAGTCTTACCTTAGCTGCATCGACTCAAGGTACATCGACCTGCTGGAGCAAGCGAAGTTTTCCAAGAAGAGCTTCCCAAACAGGGCTCTTTCGGATGTGGACCGGGACCTTTCTTGCCAACTCTATTATATCTTGGTGATGCTCCTGCGCGGTAGGCCGCTTGACATCACTTACAACACAGGCCTCGGAGAAGGTCTTGAATCCTACCGGCGCATCTTTGAGGAGTTCCACCCGAGGGTTGCGTCACGCTATGTGGGCACTCTCACAACGTTGCTTTCAAGCAAGTTTGGTGATGATGTTGAGGGGGACTTAGCGGCCTTCGAAAAGAGCGTCCGGAGGTATGAACAGGAGAGCGGCAAAACACTGGATGAGGAGATGCTTTTGGGCATTGTGGTGAATGGGCTAAAGGACAGCAGCCTGCAAAGCCACATCATCCGGAACTCAAGCCGGCTCAAATCCTTTACGGATGTGAAGGCGGAACTTTTGGAGATTTCGAGGACCAACCGCGTCCTGCAGAATCTCCCGCAGCCAATGGACCTTGGAGCTGCACCGTGGAAAAAGGGCAAAGAGAAGGGCAAGGGCAAAGACAAAGGCAAAGGCAAAGGCGACAAAGGGGGTAAAGGCCAAGGCTCAGACAAGCAAAAGCCCCAAGGCGCAAACCCCAACAAGGACCGTGAGTGTTGGTACTGCCATAAGAAAGGGCATGTAGAAGCCGAGTGTCGCAAGAAACAAGCCGATGCCAAAGCCAAGCCCAAAGCTAAAGCAAAAGGTGGCGGGAAGAACCGCACACCTCATGCGGCTAGCCCCGCTGAGGGCGAGGAGGAACCAGAGCCCATGTCTGCATCGCCTCAGGAGCCGGACCTTTGCTTTGGTGTGGTGGCGGCAACGCCCAGCACCGAGGCCAGTGAGACCGAGGTTCTTGTAGATACGGGGGCAGGGTCTCACCTGTTTCGGAAAGGGTTTGACTCCGGTGCTTTGTTGGGTTCTCGTGTTTCGGGGCCTGGAATGGTTACCGTTACGGGTGAGCCCTTGGCTAGCGACCAGAGGCTTAGGAGCCAGCTCGAAACCAGTGCTGGGACCTTTTCGGTAGAGTACGCCGAGTCTGAAAAGGTTAGGTTTTCGGTGCTTTCTGCTGGCCAAGCGGCCACGAAAGGCACCTGGACGGTGATTGGCCCCGGTGTGCAGTGTATGGTTCTAGATAAGCATGCGTGTAAGCTTAGGAAAGCCCTAGGAGAGACCAAAGACACGATGCAACTCAGAAAGAAGAGAGGGGTATTTTGGCTCCCAGTGAACGTGGTGAAAGAAAGTGAAAGGGTTGAAGACCCAGACGTGTTAGCAGCTACGAGGGCTGCTAAGAAGACGGTGCCAGCAAAGGCGCTGGCAGGTGAAGGCGAGGAGCCTGGTGAAGCGGGTGACTCCGCTCAGCCGGGCCAAAGCTCAAGTGCGGGCGGCCCCGCCGATGCGGGGAGTTCCGCTGCGAACCCTGGTGCGGGTAACTCCGCCGGTGCAGGGAGTTCTACTGACGGCCCTGGCGCGGGTGGCCCCGCCCAGAGGCTTCCGGAGATTGGCGACGTGCCAATGGAAGTGTCTGAGGCCACGCGGCGGCCGAAGACAAAGAAGATCCCGGACACGGTTAGCAAAGCCGAGTTTGACGAGCATATGCTTACGCATCTGCCCATGCGAAGCTGGTGCGATCACTGCATGCACGGCAAGGTGCGTGAGGATGCGCACTCAGCTCGGGAGCCCAGCGGTCGCGCGTCGGAGGTGGCGCGCATCTCCCTAGACTACTGTTTTCTGGGACGGGCCTTGAAGGGCCCAGTGAACTCCGTGGAGGAGGTCAAGGTGCCTCAGGATGAGAAGGATGGTCTCCTTCCCATTCTGGTGATCGTGGACGAAAAGTCCGGTTGTGTTTTCTCTGGTGTGGTGGCTAAGGGCGTTAACCCGTATGCCACTGGATTGGTGACTGAAGCGCTCAAGTTCTGCGGGCGCCAAAAGGTCATCATGATGAGCGATGCTGAGCATAGCATCCGGGCACTTGCTGAAAGTGCCGCCAAGTCCTGGACTGGCAGCGTGCAGCACCAGACTGCACCGAAAGGTTCTCACGCATCTAACGGCGCGGCCGAGCGAGCCATTTTGGAGCTGGCGCGTCAGGTGCGAACTCTTGCGAGCGCGCTGGAGAATCGCTACAAGAAGCCCCTGGAGACTGAGGGGGTTGTCTTTCCGTGGTTGGTGCGGCACGCAGGGTGGCTCATCTCCCGTTTCTTGGTGAAGCAGGACGGGAGAACACCTTACGAAAGGCTTCGAGGCCGGGACTTCCGCGGTGAAGTTGCTGAGTGCTGCGAGGTCGTGCACTACAAGCTTGACAAAGAGAAGACTGGCAAGCTGGACAAGCAAACGTCAGTTGGAGTTTGGCTAGGCAAGTCTCTTGCCTCCGACGAGCACTTCCTGGGCACTGCTCAGGGGATCCGTCGGTGCAGAAGCATCTGGCGAAGGCCAGAAGAGAAGAGGTGGGAGCTGAAACACCTCGAGGGGATGGTTGGGCTTCCCTGGCAACCGCGCGGAGAGCCAACCACCGTGCCTTCAGACAACAAGGCCCCAGCGACTCCAGGTCGCAGGCAGCCCTCGGTGTATATCACCTTGGAGCGTCAGATCAAGCACGGCAAGACACCCGGATGTCCTGGCTGTGAGTGTGACGATGACAACCCAAAGCGGCACAACGACGAGTGCCGTAAGAGGTTCGAGAAGTTGTACCCGAGGCAACCGGTGCCAGGAACGCCTGGTACACCAGTCCCTGGGACGCCTGCGGGACCCATGGAGACTGAAGGAGGTCAGGCCGAGATGCCCCAGGGCACCGGCCAAGACTTGGAGTCGGGAAGCACCGAGCCGAGTCAGCCTTCAAGGCCAAGGGCCATGGAGGGGACCTCTGAGGCTAAGTCAGGCCAGAAGCGAGAGGTTGAGGATGCGGGTGTCCCCGCTCCTTCAAGTGACAGCGGGCAGCGCCGCGTTACTGGAAAGAGCTCACAAGGAGCGAAGAAGCAGAAGACGCCAGAAGCAAGAGGTGAAAAGCGTCCTCTTGAGGACCAGGAGTTGATGGGGGGACTGCCCACGCTCCACGAGAAAGGCGAGTGGGAGCCTTTGTTTGCTTACCCTCTGGACGGCAGAGTGGAGGAGCTTGGTGCCTACGACGAGCGAACAGGCCAGCCCCTTCCCGTTGACAAGGTCAAGACTGCAAGAGGGCGCGAGCTGGACAAGATGGAGGAACACTCTGTCAAGAAGGACATCTCTTGGGAGGAGGCGCGACGGCAGGGGCTAAAGATAGTCCGAAGCCGGTGGGTAGATGGTTGGAAACCATTGCCCAATGATCCAAATGGGGTGCGCAGCCGCTGCGTAGCCCAAGAGATCAACGACCACGAGCGCGACGACGTTTTCAGTGGAACACCGCCGTTGCGGACGCACCGCATGGTACTTTCAGCTGCAGCCACTGCAAAGGCTGGCAGGACCAACCGGCGCAAGCTTATTGCCCGGTATGATGTTTCTGTTGCCTTCTTTCATGCGGTGGCCACGGGCAAAATTGCGGTCGTCCCTCCGAAAGATCTCGATCAATCGAAGCTCTGGTACTTGCTCAAAGCCATGAATGGCACACGTGAGGCTTCGCGACAGTGGTCAAAGCGCGTGTGTGAGGTCATGACGGAGGCAGGTTTCTGGGAGGTTCCAGGAATCCCTGGCCTCTTCTACCACGACGAGTGGTGCGTGACCTTGAGCTGCCACGGCGACGACTTTATCGCTGAGGGCGAAAGCGACGATCTGGATCGACTGGATGCGCTGATGATGCAATCCTTTGAGAGCAAGATATTGCCACGGATTGGCCCTGAGGAGTTCGGAGGCCAGACCACGCATGGCGATCATCTGCACCGCATCATTCGATGGAGCGAGCGCGGGTTCACTTGGGAAGCTGATCCTAAGTACTCGCGGCAGATCGTTGAGGAGTTCGGGCTTACGGACGCTAAGAGCGCAGACGCCCCATGTTCTACGGAATGTGGGAAAGGCCGCAGGGATCTCGAAGATCCTTTGGACGCTGAGGCTGCAGCGAAGTTCCGGAGACTCGCTGGTACTGCGCTTTACCTGTCCCAGGATCGCCCGACGATCCAGTATGCCTTGTCGGAGATCACCTCTGGCATGGCAAAGCCTACGGTTGAACACGAGCTCAAGCTCAAGCACCTAGGCCGTTACCTTCTGAAGTACCCGAAGGAAGTTTGGCACTACGAGTACCAGGAGCAGCCTGAGGAAGCTGTGGTGCTTACGGACTCGGACTGGGGAGCGTGCAAGCGCACGCGCAAGTCTATGTCCAGCTACGCTGAGAGATTTGGGAAGCATCTCATCGATGCTTCGTGTGCCAAGCAATCGGTGATAGCGCTCAGCTCTGGAGAGGCTGAGTTTTACGCGTTGGTGCGAGGAGCTGCCGCCGGACTGCTGACAGCGCAGATCTGGGAACGGATTGGGTTTAAGGGTTTGAAGCTTACCCTGAGAACCGATTCGAGCGCAGCGAAGGGAATCGCGACACGCAAGGGCTCGGGCAAGGTGAAGCACTTGTCCATGAAGGAGCTTTGGATACAGGACTGTGTTCAGAGAAAGCAGCTTACGGTGCAGAAGGAACCTACGAAGAGTAACTGGGCCGACTTGGGCACGAAAGCTCTTTCAGGCTCAAGAGTGACAGAGCTAGTCAAGGGCATGCCTCTCACAAGGGGCTTGGTCATGGCGTGCCTGTTCGCGTCCTTTGGCGTGGCTACGGGGCAGCCGAAGGAGCGCCAGCTCGAGACTGAAGACGTTTCCTTCTTCATCTACATGCTGATCATCCATATCTTGGCGATCCAGACCATTTGGCGATGGATCAAGTTTGCGTTTGTGTGGTGGACCACGCCACGTGTTTCAACGAAGCCGGCCCCTACAGCTGGAGGCCGCGTGGACCGACGAGGTCTAGAGGCGAATGCGGGTAGCCCCGTCTACGTCACCCGTAAGGGCAAGAAGTTTCATAGGAGACACTGTAGACACCTGGGCCAAAACCCGTACACGTTGCAGAGGGCTGAGGCTACGCAAAGAGGCTTTGGTCCTTGTACAGACTGCAACCCGTGAGTAGTGCAGGTCAGCTGTCCAGCTCAAGGATTCAGCTGGCCATGGAGGGGTGTCAGGATATAAAGCATGTTCTGACTACTGCCGTTGTATAGCTGTACTTGGTAGCCCCTTTTGGCACGAGGTGAGTAAAATAAGTAGCCTGTGCCTGCGGTGTGTGTGGTTTGAGGGTTAACCTAAACCCTTGCATAAGCACAAACCTAAAGCTCTAAACCCTAAACCTTAAACCATCAAGTTCAGGTGTCAAAGCAATTATCGCCTGTTGCTTGCCTAAGCGGGTTTTTTCAGAGGCCCTCTGCAGATCGAGAGGGAGCCCGAAAACACAAAAAAAACATAACCCCTCTCCAATGACGGCAAGGAAGCCTGTCCTGGAAGTTTGTGGATGACATGGCCTGGCAGCTCTCGGATGTGAACTGCACGGATGGAAGCACAGGCATGGAGAGCTTTCGTATTCTTGGCAGTGCGCGGGGCTTTGGAGTCAGGGTATAGGGTTGTGACAGGGGTTTCCGGTGGGGTTGAAGGAGTTGTCTGGGGTTAGCAGAAGCCGAAAATCCAAACCTGTGTTCTTGTGATAACGACCCGTGTATATAGCAGTGTTTTCGAAGGAGACGGCTGGGTTGTCAGGACTTCGTTTTTATGGATTAGTCACGTTTCGAGTCTTGAGTGGGTTGGATGCATGCTGAGTGCAATGGTTTGCAACTTGAGGTGTTTGTTGTTTTGCTGGCTTCGGTCCTGCAGCTTCTCCGCAATCATAACTGCCCAAGCACTTGCAATGGAGTTGCGGCTGGCTAGTTCGGGTCTTGAGCGTTCCCCCCCCCCCAAGCTGTACATGTGCAGGAGTCTTGGTGGAGATGCACTCTCAACAGCGGGTTGGAATGGATGATGGAAGTGCGCCCCTTGGGCACTGGGGTCACGGTCTTCGCAACCACACATACACACACATAATCATACATACATACATACATACATACATACCTACGTGCATACACACACACACACGCACAGACTGACATAAATAGATACATGAGTAGATACGTAAGTATAGTATACATACAGATACATAATGTACATATATATATATATATACTCTTTGTGTGTGTATGTGTATATGCGGGAGTGCTTGGTGCTAACCGTCTCGGTAGTGCGATGCTTGCGCACTGCCCCGGGGCATAGGTGCCTTGGCTGGCATTTGTAGGCCGCATGCTTTTTGTCTAGACATGTTCAGTCTTTGTACGTGTCGAGATAGGTCTTTATCTTCGTGTAGATGTTGTGAGATATTCGGTATCCATGGTTCACCTCGTGATCCCACATTGCATGAGCTTCAAGCCTTAGCATTAAAGTTGTTTGGATTTGTTTCTTGTCTTTGAAGTTCAAGTGCAAATTCACCGTGCCGTTTAGGCAGATGTGTGGGTTCTCGCTTTGGAGAGCTGGGTGTTGTAGACGTGTGCCGGCAGGCGGAGGATTGCAGCTTTAACCCAGTGAACTCCTGCCTTCAGGTATGGAACTAAAACCAGCGTGAGCATCAGGGGCAGATAAGTTCTTGATGGTAATTTCTGAATTGCTGTTAGCTTTCGTTAGCCCGCAGCCTGGTGCCAGGACACAACTTCTATCGGGTGGCTTTCTGTCGCTGCCTCGGCATCATCCTTTGGCAAGATCTCAAGCCAAGCGTGCACGCGTGCAGCTCTTGATATTCTGCAGACCCTGGCCCCCCTGGCCCAGAACCCCGAAGCCAGAGTTTTATCAGACCTCAACCTGCAACCTACAACCTAAACATATTCGGAGGTCAACGGCCGATTTGAGTTGAACTCGGGGCGGGTCTTGGTTGCTTCGAGGGTTCTCTTGCATATGGACGGCTTTGACTGCCGGGAGCACCTTGTTCTGAGGGGTAGCTTACTTCGTGATACCTGTGAGGAGAAAGCTTACATTAGGGTGTCCGAGCCTCGGATTGAGGAACGTTTGGATTTCGTTCGCTTGAACCTGGTTCCCTCAAACACTTCGACACCGAGTGACCCTCTCAAGCTTGAACATGTCGTGCCCGAACATCGCACCAAGGCTACGCGTTCCTGAGCGACCGGTTCGCGAGCTTGGCTGTGCCCTTCACAAATTCGTCCTGCTGACAGCATATTTTTCGGCTACTTAGCTTACCTCAGTCGGGTGAAGTTGTTGGCCCCTGAACCCCAAGCCCTCAATGCTCAAGCCCAAATTGCTTGGCGCGAATTCATGGCTCAAGACCGGAGGCCGGCTTCGAAATCATCATAAACTGTCTGTCTGCTGGCCATCAATGCGGCCAACGGGCCCTAAAGGCAAGTAATATACAGGTTCAGATAGAAGACTTTCCCACTTGTATAGGAGCCTGATTATTGAACATCACGCTAAGCTGAATTATGTTTGAGCGAGTAGTTTGCAGAGCCGCCTAGCTTTGCAATGATACTGAGAGACGACGTTTGGCCCCTTGTCCATTACAGGCACGAAACTTCTGGTACCCCAACCTCCTGCCCCAACGTCTTGAGCCTGTAAACTAATTTGCCGGACTTTGGCGTCAGCCAACAGCAAAGAGTGCCCTGTTGGCGGCGCGGTGGAGTCCCAGCTGCAGATTCGGCTGCCACATCAAAGATGATCAGCCACGACGCCACAGGTTCCGTTCGAGGAAGACCATGCCGGGCCTGCCCGAACCCTACACATCTGAAATGGAATATTGCCAGAAGCCCTTTTTGGGTTGCCTAAGAAGACGCACCAAATCTTGTGAGCTCCCTAAATCCCTACGCGAGTCAGAACAAGCTTTCAGCTCAAGACCAAAGGTTTCGTGAAACTCTGTAGATGTTTGACATCCCGTGTCGAATTCCAAGACCCATAGCAATATTCCAGTCCCTATATAAATTTATGGTCCCTACACAACCATAATCCTCGGGCATGTCAAGAACCTTGCATTACCTCAAGACCTAAACCTGAGGCGGCGAACTTAATACACCCTCCTGGTTTTTTGCGTTATAGTATGATAGGGTTGGGACGTTAAAGGTTCGGCTCCACTCTCATGCTGCCAGATACCGATAAACCAATCGACCTTGCCGTGGTGTCCTTGAATGCAAAGACTCGCTCAGCGACGAACCCGGCAAAACATGCCTTCCATGCAAGATCCGAACTCGACGAGCTTGTGACTGGTGGAGTCCTGTTTACATCGGATCAAGGAATCACCTCTCCGTAACTTTCGTCTAAATCCTCAGTCCCATATTCTCAGTCCTGAGCGTCCAAGCTAGCGAGAGCCGTCGAGTCCCAGAACAATCCGAACGTCCAGGCAACCTTGAGTCTTAGTGTTGAGATTTGAGACTTAAGTTGAGGATTGGGCTGGATTGGCAGGGATATCTTGCGAGCTACAAAAAAGCAGCCCTTGGTAGTCTGGTCGTTGTGGGGTTGGGGTGCGCAATCGTAGGCTCTGAGGCTCCAGGTCTTCGAAGGAGACTTTGAGATTTCGAGCCAGGGAACTTTCAGTCGTGTATCGGCTCTTTTTCTTACGTCTGGCTTTGGGAGGCTCGGCCCTGTGCTCAGGACGCAAACCGTATGGGTGGTTGTCAAAGTGAGGGTCCCTGTTTTGGGTACCCGTATTAGAATAAGGATCCAAAAAGGGACCCTAATATTGATAACCCCCCCATATAGTGTTTGTTTTGTTGTCGGATCACTCCGGGTTGGGGAGTGATCCGGTGCTCTCGACCTGTGAAGCAAGGGGCCACTCCGGGACCTGCCCCCAAGCGAGCAAGCGATGCTTTAGAAAGCACGGGGTGGATGGATCACGCGGCAAGAAAGCCCAGAGGCAAAGCTCTTTTCCCCATGATCCGTCATGACTTAGGGGTACTTAGAAATAATTTTTAGTTTTTGGTTATTATATATAATCCCTAAGAAACAGCTAAAATTATAATTTTTGCTAGGGTTCTAAGTTCAGTATAGATGAAGACGCAGGCCCGAAGACTGCTGAGCTACTGCAGGGCTTCTCGCCCCCGAAACCAAACACTCCGTGCCAAAGGACCGAGCCTCACCCAATAAATAGCCGGACCAACGAAACATAACACGAAGCGCAACGCTTGTTTTCTCAACTTGAGGTTATGCAAACTCAGACCCGTCAGCTCCATCTGTGGAGCCAAAACCCTGAAGTCCCTAAAGCTCGCAATGGGGGCGCGACCTTGTCAGCTAAGAGGGCGGGCTTTACTCTCGGCTTCCGGGCCGCCTCTCGCCTCTCAAGCATCAAAGCTGCCGACTGAGCTGCTGCCGCTGCCAAGCCATGGCCTACCGCTCAGCTTCCGAGAGTGGAAACCCATGTCGCTGCCGTTGTGGAGCATACTGCTCAGGATGCAACTTCGCAACTTTCAAGTTGAATTGTTCGGCGTGGTGATCTTGCGACATGTGGGTCAAGAATGCGGCAGGAAGGATTAGAGATGGAAACGCCTCATCTAACATCATGCTAAAACCTGAACAACATACCCTAGGCCCTAGACTGAACAAATTGATAAATGACGGTTCCTGCTGTGAATCAGCATCTCAGGTGCATTCCATGATTTCGGCAGACGCTTCACAACGCTTCAACAAAAGAGTTCCCACGACTAGCACATAAAGCCCTGCAACAATGGTCCCAAAAATAAACGGCGTCTGCCCCAAGCTTTCTCCTGGAGTTCCCTATAAAGCATACCTCTGGTGCTATTCAAATACCAGCAGACACTGAGAAACCTCAAGACGGCAGTCTTTGGCCTTCTGTTTTCGGCAGTGAAGCCCCCACCCCGCGACCCACATAGGACTCTTTCGTGTTATTCTGGTACTTCTCCTGATTGGATCCTGGCCCATATTCTAGATTCTAGGCTTTAGGATGTTAAACATAGCTTCTACTCTGAGGCCAAGCTCTACTTCCGGCATGGTGCCATGGGTTCCGCAAAACCCTGAACCTCCTGGCGATCGCCCACTCCTACGAGATGTCCCTCGCCCGGAACACACGGAAAGGAATCCATCGTCTGTAATTTTGTAGCATCGGGCTTTGTGGTCAAGGGTATACGTAGATATCGGTTGAGGGTGAACGGTTAATGCATGTACTCGCATTCTTTCGAACTATACTATATGCTGTGTAGTGTCTCAGTACAGGTACTTGCGAGGTTTGGGGGTTAGCGTGTTAGGGGCAGAGGCTCCACCGCAGAAGCCTTTTGCCTTGAACAGCTTGATCTGCTAATGGGCCCGCAACGCCTTTGACGAAGTCTCAACTCTCCTACAGACCCCCGGCTTTTTGGATTTAGGATCCTTTTGACTGCGTGGGTGCGGGTTTTGTCATTTGGGGGTTCAGACAACCCTAAACTACACCAATAAAATGCCGCATGAATTCCTAACTGTAATGTAGAGGCCTTAATAACTAGAGTAGGCTTTTGGGTGATATGTTGCTTTTTTTATTTATATGAGCCCCCAAAACCCTATGCTAATTATTGAGGCCCCGAGGTGTGCTCCCCCTGGACACCTTGCCCTTGCAGCTCCCCCAGATCGACGGAGCTCCCTGCACGCGCCTGAGAGCGCAAGCCGAAGCATGTGAACTCCGAGTGGCCCTGAGCGAAGCCAGGTAGGATTTCGGATACTTTTGGGGCCTTAATACTGTAATTAGAGTAGGGTTTTGGTGCCTTAATAATTATAAAAGCTCAGCATAAGTACGATTGTTAGACTTAGGGAACCCCCAGCTTTGAAGCCAAGATCTCGAAATACGTCAGAGCGCTGCCTTATCACCACTTCGGATTTGGGCCTTATATAGGGCTTTAGGTTGTACGAATGGGCTTACCTACTATGATGCCGCTAATGCCTTGGGAACTTCGCATCATACCTTCCTTGGTGTCTTCGAGTGGTTTCCGTCTTCTCCGCCTGCCAAGGCAGTCAAAGAAGGCCGATCGAGCACCACCCTTGGGCTGTGCAGACATCGGATGATCATGGGTTGCGATTTGGGCTTAGGGTTTGCGATGGTTCCTTGTGCCCCCGCCATCAATGCTGAATCAAAAAAGTAGGACCTTGCTGATATACAGGCACCTGCATCATGTTGTTTCTTCTGGGCTTCCTTGTGTTAGCTGTCGTTGCACTTGACCGGAAGTGTGGGGAAGTGTGAGATCCGTTTGTCAGCACCAAACGTTGAACCGGACTGCCGAAGTGGGGCTGTCATCTACCGGCAGCTTGGGTTTAATTCTGAGTGGAGAACTTAGGGCCCAGGCGTAACCCGATCTGTGCTTCCAAGCCCGAGACAACAATACCTGTAAACCCTGGTCTAGCGCCGAATGTAAAAATATTTTTCCCCGAGGGCTTACGGCGAAAGACTGTATCCTGGTAACTTGTTCACGGTTCTGCGTGAATACGAAACCCTATCCTAGTTGGTGCCTATGCCAAGCCCTTTCACAAAGCACAAAGCCGAATACAGCCTTTTGGTGCAAAGCCCCTAAACGCCCGTGATTGGGGCAGGTGCTCGTCATGAAACCGAAGCTGGACACTCGCTTCGGGGTCGGCCTCGTGACGAGCCGGGCTGGGTTGGAGCGTGAGGCCTGGCTGTCAACAACCTGCGGTTAACCTAGGCTAAATATATTATCATGCTGTTTGGTATTATGGGGTCGAAAATTCTCAGTTCTTCAAAGGAGAGGGGCACTCTGGAGCCTTGTGGCGCTGAGGATTTCTGACCTGCCTAAACCCCCTTGGCGAAGAAAGGAAGACTCACTCCGCAGGCCGACGTGCTCCTCACTGCAGAGTCGACCTTCACTTCGGAGGCGTTCTTGGGAGTCCCTCTGCCTGCCTCAGCTGAACATCTGCCGCGATTCCACCTTCTTGAGGCAGTTGAATTTCAAGTATAAGGTCTTGAGTTGGTTTATGTGGTTTATGGGAACTCTGGCACTTGCTACAAGACAGAAAACAGAGGTTTCAGACAGACTCTGTCAAGCCTTCGAGAAGCTGTGGGAGACTTTCCGAGTCACTGCGAGCTCTTATCCACGACATCCCCGAGTTTTGAGCGATTTGGTTTAGGGTCTTGCACTCGTCGATGCTTTCCGCGATCAAGAACTCGGGATCTCCCCCCTTTCTCTTTCTCTTTCTCTTTCTCTTTCTCTTTCTCTTTCTCTCTCTCTCTCTCTCTGTCTCTCTCTCTCTCTCTCTCTCTCTCTCTCTCTCTCTCTTTTGTGTCCGTCAGGGATGTGCTTGTGATAGGACGAGTGCATGTTTTCAGGTGGGCTTCCTGGTCGTTTGGCTTGTCGGGTTTCGGCACAGCGTCGGCTAGCTCCGCCCTTCGAGTCAAAGGCAAGCCAGCTCGCCCATCTTGTAAGGTGAGCTGTGTGCTCGTGGACGAGGTCGGCGGCCGAGTGGTTTGATTTGATGATCTGATTTTTTGGGAGCTGCCGTGGCAGACGATGTCAACGAATGCACATGCTCGTTCCCCGCCCTTCGCACTGAACCTCCGAAACCCCAGAATATCCCAAATCCTGAGCGTCCTCTCACTCTCATCAGCCAGCCCTACACTTTCGGCCCCGAACCCAGAACCGCAAGACCTGCATCCAAGCCGTAAACTTTGAATGAAGCGAAATGAACTTAAACATGCCCACATGAGTTCGAAAAGCACACGTTCCGACCCGCGACCATTCACAAACACAAACCTTAGCAGACTATAGAATGCATGCCCGAAGCTGCACAGGCCCTAAATTCTCAACCCTAGGAGCGACTGCCCTCAGACCCTAAATCCACACCTGGGGTAACGATTTTTTGGCTCGGACAGTTTTAAAGGCGCAATTCTTGGACCCCTGCGTGGTGGAGCGGCTTCGACAGGTTGCGACGACCCAAGGCTGGGGTCCTGAAACGAGTCCATGATTTGGTCGCTGTTTTCGGTTCAGAGTTTCAGGATGAAGGTTTAAGAGCTTACGGCTGGAGTTGATTGTTTCGGGTTTGAGGTTCTAGTTCTATGTGAGGTTTAGTCGGAAGGGTTGAGGAAGTTTAGGATGTAGAGGCCACGGTTCGGGCGCGTGTGTTGGCAAGCTTTGCTTCTCTGCTGGGGGGTCGGGTTGATTGTGTTCGCTGTGCTTCATCTGAATGCTTGGCCTGGCTTCTTGCTCGATGCTGTTTAAGCTCATAATATGTAAACACTTCCTAGGCCTGTCGTTGTCGAGTTGGGTTGCCGCCGTGAGGATCTGAGGCATCTTACCAGGACGGTTTGTCATGATACTGCCTTGTTTCGAATCAGGTTTGTTTGGGAATTGGGCACATGAAGGCACATAGTCCTGCATGCATGAAATTTAGCGTCCGTTTATCAATCTGTGTTGGTATCTATACCTCTGTGTCTCTGTAGGTGCTGCCTACCTATCTTCACTTCTATGCCATACTTCTTCTGTCTCTCTCCCTCTCCTGTCTCCCTCGCTCCCTCTCCCTCGCTTTAAATCACAGAGATGCAGAGAGAACCCTGTAGAGTTGCGGCTTGCCGACGGGTGGATGTGGTCGAGAGGGACATTGATACGGTTTGGACATGGACTCGCCCGAACCCCCTAATTGCATTGCATATAATATGTCTTGACTTCTTGATGGTGGACCGGCCAGGGTCCCGATTAGGTTTTTGTGACAATGTCGTAGGCAAAGGGGAGGGCGGAGGATGCCTCTGGCAGCTGCCTGCTCGCCAGGCGTGCCGGTCATGTGCTTCGGCCTGCGAATCTCCGAGTCCAACAGACAGTCATGTTTGTAGTAATTACTGTAACAGCTTTGTCACAGTTGGGTAACAGTTTACATTTGTATGGGCACTTGAACCCAACAAGGAATAACAATGTAAATTTTTAATCCTATCCCAACAATGAACTAGACAACCTGAGGGGTGGAGAGGTTTGGAGTAATCACGTGGATTGAGAGGCTGCGCTTCTGACTTTCTGAATCTCTTGTGTTTTGTCAGCATGCAGCCTGGGTTGTGGGGGCGTGTTTTGTTTCGGTAGGTGGGGTTCTTCGGGTGAGTGCTACTCAGCTACTCCTGCACTTAACAGCAGTATGAGGTCAGGGGTCCTCGAAGACCCTACATCACCTGAGACAGTTACAACGTTCCTTTTGCCAGACATTTCCTTGCAACCGGCATCATCAATCGCTTCTCGAAGAAGTTTTCTTCGTGTCAGGCATATGGCTGGGAGCGATCGGTAATTGCCTGCCAATGCACTTAGTCCTTACGAGGTGATTGCACTACAAAATCCTTTGCCACTGCAAAACAAGGGCAATCAAGGCCACCAGAACGACCTCTCATGCATTTTTGGCCCATTGTCGAGCAAAATCCAAAAACACTGTATCTCTACGTTCCATGCTCTGTGCGCGGCCTTACCTCGTAGTTCATTCCCATCTGATCCTTCCCAATGCTTTGCATCGACACTGCAGCATGATTCCGTACCGGTGCTGCTTCAGCAAAACGCAAGATCCTTGAGCCTGTGCCTCCACCGTATTTAACTCCCCCGCCGGTATATAATAGTCTACATCCGACATGCTATCCTTAAGCCCTAAAGCCTCAACTGTCTGAAACCCGAAACCTTTCGATGTGCAGTTGGGTGGTTGTCAAAATTATGGTCCCTTTTGGGGTCCTTATTATAATACGGCACCTAATATTTAGGGTACCCAATTAGGGACCATAAGTTTGACAACTACCCAGTAAAAACCCCTTGAGTTGCGAAGGAACCCTTATAGATCCCTAACCCTAAACCCTAAAGATCCCCTTGAGGAACCCTAAGTTAGGTACATAGGAACCCTTGGGGCCTTGAGCTGCGAAAGGAACGGATTTCCGCTCCCGGCTTTTTCCCGGCTCCCAACGGCTCATGGAGCTGGCAGACTCCATCGAAGAGGCAAAAATCCTTAACCTTTCGGGACATACATAGTACCTTAAATAGTAGGATCCTTATTATAAGGACCCCAATGGTTCCCTTATTATGGTAGCTTGATGTAAGAAAAAAAGAGGCAGGAGCTCAGCTCGCACGTTTTGGTTTCAAGGCCTGCCGTTTACAACCCTAGACCCTGTATCCTATACCCACACCCTGAACCGTAAAGGTTGAGGGTCTCCGCTTCCCGAATCCTTGCGAGACGGAGAAGGGACGTTTATAACAAAAAAGGTTGAGGGTCTTGGATTCAAGTTTACTGCTTTGTCTTTTGGAGCGCAGCTGTGGCGCAGGTCAAGACGACCTGCACCTACTGCAGCAGGCCCCTGAACTGCAGCCTGAACAAGGAGGAGAGAGTTTTGCGTGTATGATATATATATATATATATATATATACATACACACATATACACTTATTCATATATGTATATATATATATAATATATATATATATATATATATATATACATATATCGATCTATCTACCTACCTACCTTTCTGCCTACCTATCAATATCTATCTGTCCATCTATCCATTAATCTAACCTCATCTGATCTAATCTAAGGTAATCTAGACTATTCTAATTGTCATGCATCCTTCTATCGATCTATCTCTGTCTACATATACACATATATGCATACATGTGTATGCATATATACATATAGATTTCATGTACCTTGTTATTTCTGCCCATAGCCTTCCACCCCGAAAGCCCCTAGATCCGAAATCAACATCCGAGGAAGGCCATCATGAATCTGAAGAGCCAGGAACTCAGACCAGAGCTCCTTCCGGAACCTTCGGGGGTCTTCCTTAGATAGGGCTTTTGGGTTTAGGGGATTCGCCGTGCTTTGTAAGAGTTTCGTGAGATTTGGTTCGTACTGGGTTTCAAGAATTCAACCAGGGTTTTGGGGTATACCAAACTAGAACTCTAGTAGGTATTGCCAGGATATATCTTCAACAATACGACCCCTATTTTTTGCCTTGTGAAAGACTTTGACTTGCCGATGTTACCCTTTCATCGCAAAGCCACTGCTGCAAGATTTCGGCCCTGAGTGTGGTGGGCTTTAGGCTAGGAATGACAGGGGCTCGCAATGCAGTTGAGATTTCATGAATGACGTTGCCGTTGTAGAGCTTCATGTTTAGGCTGTCTGCGTATGCTTAAGGAGAAATGTTGTGGCTTTCCAGCTGGATTCAAGGCCGAATGCTTAGAGGGTTTAGGCCTGCAGGTGTAATAACTCTGAATTTTAGGGCTTCGGTTCAGGACCATGGTTCGGTTGTGACGGTGTCGCATGCCGTGCATTAGGCAGTGCGACCACAGGCTGATAAAGTTCGTGGATTGAGGTTGCAGTGAAAGCGGCTCTGCGTTTCCGAAGATGTCCGGACGTGACAGACGAGTTCCCAGAACCTTATGGGTTTCCATATGGGCTGTTGTATATACATATACACACTATATAAATGTAAATATAAACATATAAATATATAATTATAAATACGTATATATATATATACATATACAGGCGTTTGGCGTTCCCAGCCCCCCCCCAATCCAATGGTATGGTCTGGCAGGGCGATATAAATATAAATATATATATATATATATATATATATATATGCTACCCCCCCCCCCATTGACCTACCTTTGTTGGGGGTCTCAGGAGCAATGAGTGGCAATGATGCATGGACAAGGGAGGGCCTATTTTTGTCGCCATTATTTTGTTTGTTTTTTTTTCGCGTGTTTGTTATAGATAGTACTAGTACTGGTAATAGTAAAGAGTAATAGAGTAATACAATCATAGACTAATAGACGAATAGACGAACAGACTAATAGACAGAATAAACTAGTAGACTAATAGACTAATAGACTAATAGACTAATAGACGATAGACGAATAGACGAGTAGACTAGTAGACTAATAGATTAATAGACTAATAGACGAATAGACTAAACAAACTAAACAGACTAAAAGACGAAAAGACTAATAGAGTCATAAAGTAACAAAGCAATAAAGCAATAGAGCAATAGAGCAATAGCAATAGAGTAATAAAGAAAGAGCAATAGTACAAGAAACAGTGCGCGCGAAGCGCGTGACCCGCAGGCTTTGCTCCATGACTTTATGCATTGGTAATGGTAATAGTAATAGTAATGGTAATAGTAATAGTGCTGCATAGTAATAGTAAAAGTAATAGTAAGAGTAATAGTAGAAGTAATCGTAATAGTACTAATAGACGAATAGACGAATAATTAGACCAATAGACTAATAGACTAATAGACTAAACAAACTAAACAGACTAAAAGACGAAAGGACTAATAGAGTAATAAGGTAACAAAGCAATAAAGCAATAGAGCAATAGAGCAATAGAGCAATAGCAATAGAGTAATAAAGAATAGAGTAATAGTACAAAGAACAGTGCGCGCGAAGCGCGTGACCCGCAGGCTTTGCTCCATGACTTTATGCATTGGTAATGGTAATAGTAATAGTAATGGTAATAGTAATAGTGCTGCATAGTAATAGTAAAGCAGTACCAGTAACAGTAGCAATAGCAGTATTGGTAGTACGAGTAGTAGTAGTAGTAGTAGTAGTAGTAGTAGGAGTAGGGGTAGTAGCAGAGTAATAGAGTCATAGAGTCATACAGGAAGTAAAGTAGATAGAGTAGTAGAGTAATAAATAGAGTTAGTGGAGTAGTAGAGTAATAGAGTATGGGAGTAATAGAGTAATAGAGTAATCGAGTAATCGAGTAATAGAGTAATAGAGTAATAGAGTAATAGGGTCATAGAGTAATAGAGTAATAGAGTATTTGAGTAATAGAGTAATAGAGTAATAGAGTAATAGAGTAATAGAGTAATAAACAGAGTAATAAACTAATAAAGTAATAGAGTAATAGAGCTTTTGGAGTAAGAGAGTAATAGAGTCATAGGGTAATAGAGTAATAGAGTCATAGAGTATAAGAGTATGAGAGTAACAGAGTAACAGGGCCCAGGGCCCCAAACAAACAAAACAAAATGGCAGCAGAAGCAGAAAACTAATGTGGCCAGATATTCTCGGCACCAAGTTCAAGACTCCAAAAGATTGAGGCCTCTCAGCACTTTGGAACTGTGAGAGCTGCAAAACCTGGAGCCTGGAGCGGCCCCAATCTTTTTGAGATTCAAGACTCAAAAAGATTGAGGCCTCTCAGCACTTTGGGACTGTGGGAGCTCCAAAACACTGAGAGGCCTCAATCTTTTTATGATTTTGAAGCCAAAACGCTGGGAGGCCCCAAAAGACTCAAAAGACTCAATCTTTTGGAGGTCTTAGGAAACTAGCCTTAAAATCAATAAGATTGAGGCCTCTCAGTGTTTTGGAATCTGGAAGCTGCAAAACACTGAGAGGCCTCAATTTTTCTGAGGTTCGGGATTCCAAAAGATTGAGGCCTCTCAGTGTTTTGGAATCTGGAAGCTGCAAAACACTGAGAGGCCTCAATTTTTCTGAGGTTCGGGATTCCAAAAGATTGAGGCCTCTCAATGTTTTGGAATCTGGAAGCTGCAAAACACTGAGAGGCCTCAATTTTTCTGAGGTTCGGGATTCCAAAAGATTGAGGCCTCTCAGTGTTTTGGAATCTGGAAGCTGCAAAACACTGAGAGGCCTCAATTTTTCTGATTTTGGTTATAGTTTCCCAAGACCTCCAAAAGATTGAGTCTTTTGAGTCTTTTGGGGCCTCCCAGCGTTTTGGCTTCAAAATCATAAAAAGATTGAGGCCTCTCAGTGTTTTGGAATCTGGAAGCTGCAAAACACTGAGAGGCCTCAATTTTCTGAGGTTCGGGATTCCAAAAGATTGAGGCCTCTCAGTGTTTGGCAGCGCCCAGAGTTCCAAGGTGCTGCGAGGCCTGAATTTTTTTGGTTTTGGATACAGTCTCCCTCGACCTCCGAAAGATTGAGTCTTTTAAGAAACTAGGTCTTTGGGAACGCCGCTCCATTCGGGTACACCCCGCCCCGACCCACCCTTGCCTTTCAAAAACACCAAAAAGGGTAGGTCAATGGGGGGGGGGGGGTACCATATATATATATATATATATATATATATATATGTAAATGTATTACGTGTGTATGTACATGTATAGTAGTTATAATAATGATGTACACACACATACATATACATATATATATATATATATATATATATGCGTGTATGTTTATGTGTAGCTGTACAGGTGCACGCATGTTTGCTTTGTGTACGTCGGTCAATCTTACTTGGGTTGTATGTCATCACAGAAACGTATGATAAGATGAAGTACTTGCTTCCCTGTCAAAACGAACAACCGGATTCGATGATTATGATTTGTGGCACTTCAGCACGATGCCTAACTGAGCGCACGGACATCACGCCGCGAACCCATCCAGTGGACATCAGGCAGGCGGTTTAGGGTCCACAGTTGAGGGTTTAGGGTTTAGAGAAAAAAAATCGTGCACCCATCCCCACCCTTGCCTGAGATGCCTGAGGCGTAGATGGCAAGGCTACATTGACAGGGCCCACCGTTTGCCTCGGAGCCGAAGAGCTCTATGTGCCCCTGGCCACAATCTTGGGAGGGGTCCGATATGTTGGAATTTAGCCTTCAGGGGGATGTTTATGTTAGGGTTCACGAAGCCTCAGAAACTTTGATGCACAGAAGCCTTAAGCCGTACAATTCCAGACCGAGCAGGGCCTACCAGGAGGCACATGTCACGCCTTGTACACAGCAATGCCGACTTGTCAAGCTGATATCTTCAGAGCACTCCTAGGGCCAGTCCAAGACATGAGCTCCTGCCTTCAAGGCTTTGAGAAACTCACCCCGGAAGTCAAAGCAGGCAGATGTGCGAGGAACTGATGGCATCAGAGGCTTGAGCGAAGCGTGAGTATCCAAATTCCTAGGCCGTGGAATTTGGGGTTCAGGCTCGGGGGTTGTCAGGTCTTCATCGGCTCTTGCGTAATAGATTGCTCCGGAAAACCGAATGAAAACTGTGGTTTGCAGTGTTCTAGGCCTAGGCTGCGCATGTAACTCGGTTCGGATGTCCACTCCTCCCTTCTTACGGCTACCGGTCGGTGACGAAGTCCAGCACGCAGTGCTTACCATCCAGTGTTTCGGGGTTGCGGCATCTTACAGGCATGAACTTGTAAGCTTATCCGACGGCATGCCCCACATTGCATGAACTTGAACCTCAACCGCTGGAAGAAGCAAGGCCCGCGTGCTATCAGCACTTCTGCGAAAAGATTATCGCAGCCACGGGCGAAGACATCGACTTCGACGCGATTTGGCTGGCAGGACCCAGCTGCAGCCCGGAGCCTTCCCATCTTCCTCGTGACTGTCATGGAATCGACCAGCATCATCACCGACATTATCGCCACAATGACTAGCAGACTCATCAGCACTATCATTTCAGACGTCACCATGAGTTTAGGCAGTTCCCTTTGCAATCTCCGGGTCCAGGATTTCCTTTCAGGACCGAGGGCTTCGAAGAGTCCCCTAAATTGAGGTTTCTTGGGTGATGTCGAGATTGGAGTGTATACGAGGTAGCCGACTGTTGGCTGTGGTGCTAAATAGTTGTAGCTCTTCGGAGGATTATGTACTTCAGCTGTTGGCGAAGGTGTGATCTGTGTGGTGGTGTCAACAACCATTTTTATGCATGTACAGACACATATAAGTGCACACTTGTACATCGTTTGGTTGGTGCACGCGTCTTGTTGTTCCTTTCTTGTAACATTTGTCGAAAATAGAAAGCAGCTGCACTGTTTAGGAGCAGAAGACACGCCGTGCGATGCGCTCAGTGCGGTGATATTCCGAAGTTCCAACATTTTAACTGGAGCAGCTAGCCCAGCCCCTCGTCATAACACTTTACGCTCGAAGCCCTCGAGCTGCAGCTGTCGAAACAGAAGGGGGCCGCAAAGTTACGAGAGATCGAGCTTCAGGAATACTTGCCAGGAGTTCAGAATGTCATGCCAGCAGATCTGAACTATTTCTCTTCCGCTTGCGAAGTCCAGAAGAGCGAATCTAGATGCTATAGAGACCCTTTCACTGGGCTCTCGTCTTTCTATTGTTCTAGGATGGACTCACGAGGCTAATCTAAGTACAAGCTCTGTGTTGGCTCGTCGGTAGTCTTAGAGTCAGCTTTTACTTGCAAGGTTCCGGGCTGAGGGAAGACTCGGTTGGGGTTGAGAAACTCTGGGGTAAAGGTTTCGGACTTGGGGCTACGAGCTAGGCGCCATCTGACTGACAGTCGCTTTGTGACAAACACTTGAGTGCACGCAGCCTGCCAATGTCGGGGTAGCATCCGGGCCGCTTTGAGAACTCGTAGAGTCCTCGATAAAGATAGCATATACTTATCGTTGAAGGGCCCAAAGATCTAACCAAATACCGTTGAAGCTTTACCCACCACTCCGGCTACCTTTGAAAGCCTACTCGGTACCCCGTTAAAGCTCCTACAAGCCGGAAAACCGCTTAGCCCAAAATGCAGGTGCGTGCGTGAGTTCTTTTTTCTTGCGAGGCAAAGCCAAAGCTCTTTGGTGCACGGGCGACGACGCAAGAACAGAGTCGGCTCCTGAGAAACAGGCTGGGGTCTTGAATCGTTTGTTGGTAAAGGTGACCTTGAACAAGAGCAGTACAGAGAACAATAATGCCCTAAACCATTGATTAACAACATTCGTCATTGTGATAGTTTTAATAGTAGTGGTGAATATAGTTGCGTTAGTAGTAGTAGCAGTAGTAGTAGTAGTAGTAGCAGCAGCAGCAGGAGTAGAAGTAGTAGTAGCAGTAGTAGTAGTAGTAGTAGCTAGTAGTAGTAGTAGTAGTAGTAGTAGTAGTAGTAGTAGTAGTAGTAGTAGTAGTAGTAGTAGTAGTAGTAGTAGGGGTAGGAGTAGTAGCGCAGCAGTAGTAACTCAGCAGTAGTGTAGCGGCAGTAGTAGTAGTAGTAGTAGTAGTAGTAGTAGTAGTAGCAGGAGTAGTAGTAGTAGTAGTAGTAGTAGTAGTAGTGGTATAGTAGTAGTAGTACTAGTACTAGTACTAGTTACTAGTTACTAGTTACTAGTTACTAGTTACTAGTTACTAGTTACTAGTTACTAGTTACTAGTTACTAGTTACTAGTTACTAGTTACTAATACTAGTACTAGTGCTAGTAGTAGTTGTAGTAGTAGCAGTAGAAGTCGTAGGAACATTGTAGTCATAATCATTTATTAACAATAACAACAGTAAATAGACAGAGAGGAGAGAGACAGAGAGAGATACCTTCATAGTACATACATATAGGCACATGTATGTACATATATGCTCTTTCTCGTTACATACGTGAATACACACACACACACATATATATATATATAATATGTGTATACATACATATACATATAACTTGGAAGAACTCTTGAGCATATCAGCTAAGCCTGAGGCTGTATTACATGATAGAGAACCCGTATGAAATTAACTTATATCCGAATCAAGGTTTGGCGTGAACCCTGCCAGCAGCTTGTTTCGCCGACCCAACATCGTCATTCCCAGGGCCCATAGCCAGAGCAACAAACTCACAACCCTAAAACGATGCACCTCAGACCCGAAGGCTAGCATAGTGAGGGGACAGCACCGTCAAAGAACAGAATCCAGCATGTACGGCAATCTCGCGGGAATCTATTCGTCCTAGCTTTTGCCATCGAGGTGTATGGCACTAGAGCCGGAGACGGAGCAGTCTCCAGAGAAGCAAGGCAATTCAGGGATGTGCAGGGTCCAGCGCAAGGGTTTAGGGTTTGGGTCCAAGGCGCAGGCGCAGTGTTTGTAGGGCTTGCTTGCGCAGTGCTCTTCAGGTCTTTTGGCCTCGCGGCTCGGAGATGTTTCGACTCCAGCAATGCTTAGTCTTTGCCGGCTTACGGTTTTAAGATGCGCAAGCATAGGATGTAGTTCATGGGAGTCCGGGCTAAGGTTTGGGGCTAATTTTGGGTCAGCCGGATTTGACGACGCATGTGTCGTCACGTTCATTGACATTCTTGTTCGCACCACTATACTTGGTGCCATCGCAAAACTTATTCCGTTAGTTGGTCGAGTCAGTCTGGTTAGTTTCACCAATGCTTTGGGCATTGCGGGCCTGTCAGGGGCCCTGTGGGCCCGATGCTCATCCCCCAGGTGACCCTCATCCCCGGGGCCTTAAACGCGAGTCCGTCAAAAGGAGCCCTCCAAGCTGCCAAGCCATGAGCCCTTAAACTAGCCGCTAGCCTTAAACAGATCCAAGAAGCGAACGCATGTAGTAGGGTTGGCGCCCAGGGTTTAAGATTCACAGACTCGGGCCCCAACCGCGACCGCGAACCCAGCACTTGGGTTTGAGGTTGCAACCGGCAAGACCTCAACCATTCAAACGACCCGGCTCGGCCCTGCAGGCAAAGCTTAGATGCGACGGGGAGATTCCAGCGACCTTCGAAGGTCGTAGCTGGATACAAAGGGGCCAGGGCCTGAGATTGGGTTTCAATATTTCGGGCATGTTTCACAGGGCTTCGCACTTACATGTGTTGCTTCACAGCTCTTTGGGGTGAGGTTCAGGGCTTAAGTTTGCGGAATCATGGTTTCGGGCCTCGGGTCGGCTCACCCATAAGCGCCCCTATGCACGGGCCTCCTTCGTGACATGAAGCTGCTGCTACATACGACAAAGTTATAAGCACAACAGCTGCAAGCAAAAAGGATCTATGGGATTCAGTTTTGTGTGAGTCGCGATCTAGATTATCTGGACCGTACGATGGGCACCGTACGAGTGCTTCGAAGCGAAACTAGATCGAGGCATTTGAGGGGTAGCCATGTTCGTACCCTGGGCCCCGAAACTGTATATCATCGTACATCCCTGAGACCTTCAAGCCTTGAAATCAAGTCCTGGTCAGATTTAGATGTGCACTCCTGGCATTCTGGAGGCCTGAATCCTATCAGAGACTGACATAATTCCTGCAACTCTATACCCCAAACTCGGCTGGGGGAGGGGCACCCTACAGCCTTGCATCAGCCATACATACATATATATATATATATATATTTCTATACATATGATTTCCATACATCTGTGCGTGTATATATATATATATACACATATATATATACACACGTATGAATATTTACATTCTTTACACAAGCCTTTAAACCAGATTTTTCAGCCGGGCACGAAACCTTTGATTCATTCTGGGGTGGGTGAAGGGTCGTAGAGTAGGGTTGTTGCCGGGGTTGTTTGGAAGCCTCTTAGAGGTTTTGAATATGTACTCCAGGGTTTTGGGGTTTATTCTAGTGCAACCATCTAATATACTGTAGGAACCGTAAGGGGTCAATGCCAACCAGCTGGACCTCTACACTACGCTGTCTTAACACTTAGTCGGGGCCAGAGTTCTGCTTCCAGTGAGGGCTTTTGGCATGCTGCATGTGTACATGTCCGAAGCAGGCAGTCAGATCAGGAATGCTGCCGCTGGACCAGCAAAAGACGGCACCCTCGCCCTCACCAGCCCGTCAACGAGGGATTGTGACAGCAAGCATGTCAACATGCGGACCGACCTCTCAAGAAGTTTTGGAGTTGGGTTTCGGGTCGGTTTGCCTTGAGCGCTGCAGGGTTTAGGGGTCTTGCTGCATGGCCTTCTTGCGTCCTTCTGTGCACACGATTCCAATGCGTAGGCTTCTCATCTAAAATCTAAATCTTAGAACTTTAGAGCCAATGGTTCCTTGGCACATACTAACATCCCGGGGTTCGAGATTTTGTGCTCAATCACGACATTCCCAAAACCCTACGATCGTAAAGACAACCCTGCAGAGCACCAGGTCAAAATTCCTGGATCGGCCAGCTTGGAAGACCAAGTGCTGAGGGGCAGCACATCCCTTCACTGCCGCGGCGGCCTGAATACTGGCCTGCGACCTGTCTGTCACTGTGCTCTCTCGTCGATCCCTCTATATATGTGCTGCTTGAACTTATAACTGCCACGGACGGACAGCTGGACGAACGTAACTATACAAGCATGCCAACGCACGTGCATACATGCTTGCTTCATGCACGCACATGCTTCCACATGCAATCTGCACGGGGAATATGAACGCATGTCCATTACGGTACGGTATGATATGACATGATTCCGATCTTCGTTTTGGTGATGTGGAGCTTTGTTTTCTCGGACGTGGTCCTCTGGCGAAGGAGGCCCAAGGGTTTTTTGCGATGAGTGTCATGCAACTCGTGCATGCAGTTTAACATGTATATGTTCTTCTACCTGGCATGCTCATTGATACACTTGCCTGCTTTGATCCGGGTATGTTTCCGTCGTCGACCTTCCGATGTATTTTCTGCTGCTAAAACACCCGAAACTCTCACAGCTGTGAAGGGCAGAACTTCAGAACCCCTCCTAAAACCAGTATTCAGGTCTTCTGCAGTAGATACCGGTGCACGCGGGGGAGCCTGCTGTGGCGGCGGAAAAAGCTGTCCGGACTTGCCATGTCATAGTTGATCAGCATACGTTGTATCTCATCTGTGATCAGCTTGATGTCCACGACAACATAACGAGGGAACTCACACAGGATTTTAAGGCTCGTGCCCGGGTCGTCTCGGTAGTCGTCTCCACAGGCATGGGGGGCATGGCAAGGTTGGTGCTCGTGGCCGTTCTCTTCCCATCTCAGACAGATGCATCGTGCCTGTCAGCGGCCATTAACATCAGCGAGCGGAAGTACTTGACGAATGTCAATGGCGAGTCCTACCCCATTGGCATGTGGATCGGTGACTGGGATGCGTCCTTCATGACAACCCACCTGCTGAAGATCATCATAGAGGACCGACAGCTTCGCTTTTGCATTAATCAGGAAGTTGTGCATCTTGTTGACATCTCGGCCTCCAGGAACGAATGGGCTTCCACGCTGAGGCCACAGGTCCTGGTCCTGACACTTTGAGTTGCTTCTACGCGCTACTTGGTTGTAAGGCGCCTGGCAACAGCAGCGACAGGGGATGTGGTCAACCAGTGACCTACAACCACATCAATCTCGAGGCATGGTCGGAAAGCTATCTGAATGAGTGGAAGCTCATCCAAAGTCGGTACGCCTCCATGGCTCCTGTGGACGTGGGAAGCATGGGTTACGATGGCACCGCTTCATTTTTCATCCGGCAGACGGTGCAGAGCCATGCTTACCACGAGGATGGCACTGTCCTGGACTTCTACCGAGGATGGAATACGTCGTGGAGCCAGCCGTCGAAGTACTTCGATGACCTAGCTTCTATAGACCGTGACTTGATGGTGCCTTGTGCACAAACTCGCTTCATGGTGGCAGAGGCGAACCAGAACTATCTGCGAATCACAGGTGGGGTGCTGAACAAAGGCAGTGCATGCCGTAGAGCTGCGCGCCAGATTGTGTAGGTTCAGGCATAGGCATGTTGGTTTCGATACGGCAGGTGACGATGCGGGTGTCGAGATGCTCCCGGATGGCACGCTTGCCGCCGTTTGTCCAGACGACTACTTCTGGCTCTCTCCGAGCTGCCGGGAAGATTCGACTCGCTGCGTGCCCTACGTTACTGGTGGCTCGGGTTGGCATCATGATGATCTGATGCAAAAGGTCACCAGCTATGATATGCCTGTTGCCATTGGGGTTGCAAGATCATGGTCGACACTACCTCGAGAGGTCAATGTGTTCTTTTACTGGTGGGTTCCAGATACTACGTTTTTGGATCTTGATCCAGTCGAGATCGTTTTTCCTCCATATGACTTCCGTGCATACACCAGTGGTGACAAGCGCACTGTAGCTGCATCGACCGCAATTACCAAGATCGTGAGCCAAGACTTGGTCACCTTAGCGCCCTCGGTGGAAGACCTCGTGCGGAACTTGCGACTGGGCCGTAACGATGTCATGAACATGCTGAGGGACATGCAAGACACCGGGGACTCCTATGCGACTGTGGCCTGTCACTTGGTCAAAGTTGTACAGACTCGAGTGCAACTTCATGTTTGCATCCCTTTTTCGGGGTGCGATGTTTAGGCCGGGCAGCTCGAGCCAGGGGTCTACAACCAAGGTCGCTGGTTACAGTCGAACCCTAGCTGGCAGGATTGGCTGCCGGACCGCACAAAGTGCTCCCCCGGCTTCGGTCTCTACGACACGGCGCAAGATACCTTTATTGGCACACGTGCAGATCCGACCTTCTTGGAGTGCCGTGCTTGTGTGTCCGGAAGATATTCAGCTCGGTTGCTTGACGCCGTGGGAATTACCCATGTGTGCGAGTTCTGTGCGCCTGGAAGTAGCCAGGCATCGGGTGCTGCTTTGCAGTGCGAACCGTGCCAACTTGGGAAGTCACAGAATAACTCTGGCAGTCAAGAATGTAATCGTTGCAAAATCGGTGAGTACCAGGATGAGCTTGGTTCCAGCAGCTGCAAGCCTTGCTCAGGTGGCACGACCCTAGGCTTGGGATCCTTTTCACTTGAGGACTGTGGCTGCCCGACGGGCTATATCGATGCTTCAAGTAGCACGGCGAACCTGAGCTGCATCGAGTGCGGGGAAGGCCAGGACCGTTAGCAGGATGGGATCTGTTCTCTTGTGATAGCGAGACTCCGAGATGCATTGTGTGACAGGCTTGGACTGCCCAGCGCTCGCCACGCTACAGGGCCTTCGGTCCGGCAGCTCGAAGATTGGCCCAGAGTTTGTGGCGAGCATCCTTCCCGGGTTCTACAGCAGCATGGCGGAGCCGCTGGAGCTGTATCGCTGCGTCGAGGCTGCTGCAGGCACCCGCTGTCCGGGTGGCATCCCTGCAACCTGTACGGGACTACTGAGCAACACGGCCTGCACCGATTGCCCCAGCGGAAAGCACTGGGACAGGTCTGGGGGACAGTGCGAGGAGTGCACGCCCTGGCAGCAACTAGGCTGGATCCTCGCAGTCGCGGTGATGTTGTCTGGCCTGGTCATGGTCTACTACATGATGACTGCTCAACAAACGGCCAAGGCCTCCGTGCTTTTTACAACGACGTGTGCATTCGGCATGACCATCTCGTCGCTACAATCCGTCGGCATCATTGGGACGATGACCGTTCGAGTCCCCGAAGGTTTGAAAGCCATCTATGCATTTCTTCAGGTCTTTCTGCTGGACTTCGACAACTTTGCTTTCAGCTGCGTCGCAGGTGGTTCTGCCCGTGCTCGTTACATCGTGTCGGTTCTTGTCTTCCCGGGTGCTGCATGCTGGCTCGTGTGCTGCCACTACGCTTCCAGGCTCTTGCCCAAGAAGCTGCAATGGGAAGGCAGCAAGACGAAGAGCACCACAGGGGCCTTGCTTCAGCTTGCATTCAGCACGATGAGTACCATTTCCATGGCACCGATGATGTGCTTCAGGCGTTGGGGTCAACATTGCCTCAATATACATAGAGAACAACTTTTGCCTGGAGCTTTAAGCTTGAATCCCTGTATCAGTCACCCGAATGGCGTCTTCAGCCTCTTGAAGTACCCCAGCATCACTTGTGGCACGGAGGCCCGCGTTCTATTGCATTTGGGGTCCCAGGCCCTGGCGGGCTCGTGCCCTCTGCATGCTGAAGGTTTTTGTTACGTGGTCTCTGCGATGCACGAGACTCCGTAGCTCATGAGGTGATGCTTCGATTCGGTAGCTTCGGGTTGGCTTGTCCTTGGCCTGGCTTCATGGGTGTGTGGAGTGGGCAGTGAGCCTGTGGTCTGAAGAAAGCTGCTGTGTCGTTGCTCAGTCTATCTGCTCAACATGCAAGCTAGCCTGCAGCTAGAATAGCACCAAGTGGGAAGCAGCTTTCATCTTGGATTCTGCCTACAGGAAACAGGTCGTGCAACAAAAACAAACCTTGTTCATACGCCTACGTGTTCAGAACTGGAAGTATTGCTGCGGCATGTATAAACGAAAGCTCACCTTGCAGGATCACACCGTCATGCTAATCTTCGGCGTGTTGCTTCTCCTGCTGGGCGTCATGGGCTTCCTGGCAGTATGCACCTATGCCGTGATCGTCGTGCCGAGCTGGAGCAGGAACGGGCTACATGCAAATGTGAAAGCCTTCAGATTCCTTCTTTTCCGCTTTCGGCTGGACTCCTGGTGGTTTGGATTGCTGTTGCTGCTACGGGGTCCGATGATGTCGCTCCCTATCGCGCTGGCGACGGACTATCCACCTGTCCAGGTCATGTCTGTTATGCTCGTGTTTTTGGTCATACTAATCATCCAGGCGAATGCCTGGCCATGGAAGGTGCCGCTTCTGAACGTGCTGGATTGCTTCATTGGCTTCTGCATTACAATGCTTGTGGCTTCGACTTCATTGTACTTGGGCGGCCTCGAGGGTAGCATGAAGGACTTCGCCGATGGAGTGGGTTCGGTGATCATGGGCATGATGGGAGCAGCCGTAACCCTGCTTTTCGTCATGACCGTCACTGCCTTGACTTTCCGGGCGGCGCTTGGCGGGCAGCAGGAGCTCATCGCTTTCAACCTCCAGAGGACATGTTGTGTTGTGCTGTTGGCTTTCAGTGTTGTTTGGTCAGGTCACGTGGCACGGCCTCTCCAAAAGCATGCATGCTGTAGTCTGGGAAGCTTCACTCATGCCCGCGCCGCATGAGGGCTTATTGTGAGTTCGACCATAAGACAAGTGCTCCAAGTTGCTTGTCCAGGCATGCTTCAGTTGTGACGTTGTCAGACAGACTTGATCGTACAACAGCTCTTAGCTTGCAGTGGGTCGCATGTTGATGAGGACGCCGGCGCCCACCCTCGTTGCGGAAACCGTGCAGTCCATGTCAGCCCAGCTCGCAAAGATGGATCGGGCAGGACTGGTGAAGGCGTTGTCGGCGATGGGAGTTTACGACAGCAATTTGCTGCTGGCATCAGTGTCTTTGCTCGGCACAGAGATCGTCCCGTCCGATGCCGATCAGATGGCAAAGAGGTGGAGCGAAAGGGCTTGTTAGTAGACACTTCTGAGGGCTTTGTCAACGCAAGGGATGGAGTTGGATGCATGTTCGTGACACATCGACTCGTGCAGGTACTGCTTCCGGATCAAGTCCGCTTCCTTCGCGCCGCCGGCGCCACCCCAGAGTCCTTCCCCTGCCAAGAACATGCCGGCCAGCAAAGCAACAGAGACGTCTAAGGAGGCAGAGTTTGACCAAAGTCCCAGCGAGGGCGACCTGTCTCCAACCAACGCCCGGGCAGCCGAAGAGCCAGGTCTGGCCAACGCAGCAAAACCTGGTGGAGTTTTGGGTTCAAGATTGGGTCCTTCATTGGGCGAGGAGGCGCAGCAGGCGTACATCTAACCTCCATGCTCCATGCTGGGAAAGCTGATGCCCGCTTTGCCAAGCTTGGCACTTGCGGCTTCGGCTTACCGTGTTCTGCTATCAATTTTCTTGATAATGTTCTTCCGCGCGCGGAGCGCCGCGGAATGCCGCGGAAGGAGCTTGAACATGCTGGATTCGTGGAACATGGTTCAGCATGATCAAGCATTTTTCAAATCGGCTAGACCAGTAAAGTGCACATATTTGTACATTTTGCGTTGTGTCATTTGACTCCCATTTTCCCAGTGGGGGGGCACTACTGGCAGTTGCATTGCTCACTGTGCTCGCGAGTCCGGGACGAAGTCGTCCTGTCCACAAGTCCCCTAGCAAAGAATGGACACATCGGTCAAGGTACAGTACAGTCTTGAAAGGGTTCCTACGAAGGACTGTAAGGGGCCCTATTTGCTTTTTTTGCTTTTTTCCGCAGCGGACTTGTTGGATGAGGGTCTCTGCAGATTTGCTGGTTGCCTGGCATGTATATAGGCGACCTGATCGGAGACCATTGCGGCGCTTGTCGCGGCAAGTGAAGCACGATGTATCGCAGCTTACAAACGTGCGGAGGTCTTCTGCATCCTCTGTCATGAAGCTCTGAGAAGTTGTTGCAGCTCTGGACTGATTGGAACCGGCGTGCACATGGCTCAGAGATTTCTAGGCAGGCGGCATGACTCGGCCGTCCGGAACCAGCAGAGACCCAAGCTAAGCTAGCTCTTCAGTGCATGCGCATGACTAGATCCGAAAAAAGAGTAGGAGAGTCGCCAGAGCCGCGATGGCGAGCGTGGCAGCACCCATCGGATGGATAAAGAGATAGGCAGGTAGGCAGTTAGATGTACTGCATTCTCGTACTACTTGACATGCTCGGTGAGCACGCAGCTATTCAGATGTTGCTGTTGTATCAATCGAAGGGTAAAAGGAGGGACCCTTAATAAGGACCCCTAGGTATATACCCTTCATATAGCTATAATATATACCCATTATATAGCCCATTATAGGCTATGGGTCCCCATTAAGGGTCCATCCTTTTCCCCTTTGAATCAAGGTCTGCGTCTGTTCAGAACAGAGGCAAGCCGTTCGACTTGGCAATCTTCACGAGTAGTACCAGTAGTAATAGTACTAGTAGCAGTAGAGGTAGCAGTGGCCGTAGCCGTAGTAGTAGCAGTAGTTGTAGCAGCAGTATAGTAGTAGTAGTAGTAGTAGTAGCAGCAGTAGTAGTAGTAGCAGTGGTGGTGGTAGTGGTGGTAGTGGTAGTTATAGGTAGTGGAACAGAGCACCAGGTCAATTTCCTGGATGGGCCAGCTCTGAAAGCTTTAGGTGCAGCACATCTCGTCACTCCAGCGGCCTGAATAGTGGCCTTCGACCTGCCTGTGCTCCTTCCTCGGGACATGCAAGTGCTGTGATCGCCGCAAATGTATATAACTTAGTTTGAGTTACTTCCTTTGCTCGTGTGTGCAATCCCCAGGACATGGACGGACGGCTGAACGAATGCAACCATACATGCAAACCAATGCATGTGCGTACGTACTTGTCGCTTGCATGCACATGCTTCCACATGTCGAGCTGCACGGGGACTATGCATGCCATGTCCAGCATGGTACTTGTACGGTATGATCTGCCATAATACGGGAAGTTTATGATCTTTGTGTTGGTGATGCGGAGCTTTGTTCAGCTGCACACGCTCGTCTTCATCGGACATGGTCCTGATCGAAGGAGACCCATGGGTTCATGCGATGAGTGTCATGCAACTCGTGTATGCAGCGTGTGCGGTGCAAATTTGTGTTTTCTCTGCTCCGAACGCTGGTGTTCTTGTACCTGGCATGCTCATTCTTGTACCCGCCTGCCCGTCAGCTTGATCCACGTGTCGGTTTCAGTAGTCTACTTGGCCGATGTATGTTCTGCTGCTGAAGCACCCGAACTCCTTTCAGGAATCTGCACTAGCTACCGTGGCATGCGGGGGAGCCTGCTGTGGCGGTGGAAAAGCTGTCCGAGCTTGTCATGCCATATAATTAGTTTATATCAACGTACGCTTTATCTCATCTGCGATCAGCTTGATGTTCGCGACAACATAACAAGGTCACTCAACCTGGTAATTCACAGAGGATTTTCAGGCTCGCTCGTGGCCGGTGTCTTCCCATTTTAGACAGGTGCCTGCTAGCGGCCATTGGCATCAGCCAGCGGAAGTACTTGACAACTGTTCACGGAGACGAAATTGCGAAGGCGATGAGGGCGAAATTGTTCGCAAGGAATTGAAGCTCAAATAGCTCGCGAAGAAGACGAAATCTGAAGACTAAATTTTGTTCGCAACACACTGAAAACGAACTTCGTCGCGAAGACTAAATTCGGCCCGAACACGCAAATGCTCTTCAAAAAACCATCGCTGAGTTGTCTAGGCTCCTGGATGCTTTCCAAAGTCAGTTCGGCCGCGAAGACGCAACTCGGTCCTGAAGACGACCTCCAGGCCCTATCCTCGGAGCTGAAGCTTCTGAGTTGTGATTCAAAAACGAAGGCCGCTGGCTGGATCTTCTGAGTTCAACGCTGCAAGAGTTTAGGGTTTAGGGTGTGATTGTCGAACCGTGGGATCGGAGATTAGATCCTCGGAGCTCCAGGTGTGCAATGGCTTTGATATATAATCAGGGGCGCCGGAGGTCAAAGTTCCAAGAGACGGTGTTTTTGGAAGCCATGGGGGTCCCATCAGTCCGAGGCTCCATCTTCGGAAAATGTATGTATGAATGCGTGTACCATGGTGTACCCATCATTCGAGTCCCATCCCCTGCCCACCACCACTGCCGTCGTCCCCCGTCACCGTCACTGTGTATCTCGTTTACTGTGCTTGTTATCAGTCTGAAAGAAGCTGATGAAATCAAGACTCTTAACACACTCTTTCAAAGAGGAGAGCCGCACTTGTGCAGACGTTTACCTGCCTTGTGTGCGCAAACTTGGCCTTGACTGCCGCTTGGCTGCTCAAAAACCACTTCGTAGGGTAGTTGACCTTGGTCAGTAGGGTGCTTGTTCCAGGTTCAGCGATTTAGGATGTAGCCTTCCAAGGCTGCTATCGAGCTTGCTTGCAAAAGCGATCAGATGCACAGCTACAGAGTTCTAAATGAGCCCGCTGCTTCATTGTCCGGGGTCTTTGAGCAGCCGAGACATCTCGAAACCGCAAGTCTGACAAGAGTCTCAGGACCACATGCACCTCATGCCAAAGCCAGCTATTTCCCGCGGGAAACGCATCCGGCCCTTTGAAACAAACCGCTACCCTAACCACCTTGCCATGGCTCTGCTTGGTGAGGTGCTGGGGGGCTCTAGGCATCAGAGTTCAGGATCGTAGGGCAGGGGGTCGAGATTGTGATGCTCTTGGGACTTATGGTCGTGGGTCGCGCGTTGGTCATGCGTGGTTTCGAATTTCCAAGGTGTCCCAATTTCAAGTGTGGCTTCCAGTGACCCTGCTCGGCCCTAGCCCCGAAAAGACCATGACCTCACGACATCTCTAGCGATACCCTAGCCCTCCAGCACCACAGCCAACACCCTCCTTATTGCACTCGGCTTTTACGGTTGACGAAACATGTTGTAGACTGTATGCTTGGAGTTGTCCTTTTGATTGTGTGCCGCTGAGCATCGGGTTGGAGCCGAGGCATCCTGATTGGCCAGGCTATAAGGGGTGCTCACACAAGAGATGCCCCGTAACCTGTATCTTGCGTGGCACGGCCAAGGTTATGGTGGCGTGAATGCGATTGTTGAAGCATGTTGAAGCCCAAAGTCTGAATTCTGGCTACACCTCCGACCTCAGAATGGCTGCTTCCTCTCAAGTAGGCAACCTCAAAAACCAGACCTTGAAAACTACTTCATTGACTCTCCAACACAAGTGGTCAGATATCCTCATGCCGCTTCGGCCATACTCTTGCTTGCCGTACTCCCATCTGTGAAGTGCCGGACAGAAGGCCTTTTCTTTGGGGGCCCCGCCGCCTGCGCTTCCTATCGCAAGGCACGTGAGGGGATGCAGGTCTCGAGCCCTACACATGTTTGCGAACGGCGTACTGCCAGGACGACCACAGCAACCACAACCACAACCACTGCTGCTGATGCTGCTGCTAGGGCTGCTATTACTACCACGACTCCACCTACTCCAAGTCCTCCTCCTCCTCCTCCTCCTCCTCCTACTCCCGCAGCGGCTGCCACGACAACAGAAACAACGACGATGACGATTGTTCCTGCTCAGAATGATACAAGGACAACGTGTTTTGCAATTGCATCAGCAGCCGTCGAACTTCGAAAGCTGTATCAGGTCTTGTAAAGAATCGCCAGTAGATTCACCTTTGCAGAAACGACCACCACAAGCATCGTGATCTCCGACGCCAACCTATTTCGAGATCCTGCCTAGGCCCAACCCCTGGACCCGAAACACACCCTTCACATTTACCGAAGGCCTTGCCCCGACGAGCGTTCTCTCCCACATTGCCTAAAGCCTCAACATAATCCGGTATCTTCCATTGTGTTGTTTGAACCTCAACTCCCGAACGCACCATGCTCGTCACCCAGGCTCGCCACAAAGCCTGGGCGTGCAGTGCACGAAGTTCCGGAGAGAGGCAGGGCAGAGGCTGAAATGCTCAAGGCATTGAGGGAGTCAGCTTCGAGGCTGACTGGCATTTAATGGCTTTCGAGTTTGAGGTTGAGTGCACTCAGGGGGCTATGAAGCTTTGAGGGTTATAGGCTTTGAAATCAGTGCCTTCTTTGCTGGCCCTGGGATATTTTGGAAGAGCTGATCGATAGGCTTCCGACATGTCTTCAGGTTAAGTGTTAGTGTTGCTTGAGGGTTCAGATTGTCTTTGCAGTGGGTGTCCTCTTTTTTGTGGATACGTGTTAGACCGACTTTGTCCAAGAAGGGCAGCAGATGAGGGTATAAACTGGGAGCACCCGTCATGCTCATCCGATCCTTCCTTTTATGCTGTCGACTTGAGATGATTTACGACCCCAAGACCCCAAATCTGGTCTCG